AGTTCTTTAGGGTTTAGTAACAGGGTTATTAGCCTTTTAAATTTGGTAAAGGTGTCACAGTTACGGATAGGTATTGGCAACCTGTTCCACAATAAACTATACCGAACTGTAAAAAACCTACAACGCATTTATTTTTGGTGTTTTTCGGTAAATAGTGTATATGCATTGTTTCTTAGTCTATAGGCTAGGTCATTGATCACAGTTGGGCAGGAGGTTAGGAATGACAGTCCATTTATTGCTTTGTAGAGAAATATCAGATTGTTCCTTAATCTACGGTGCCATAAAGGTTCTAAAGAGAGGTGTTTACATCTACTTGTGTAATCAAGAGTGGTGTCACATCCTAGCAGTTGGCGTGTAAAGCGTCTTTGAACATCTTCTACTCTTATTTTGTCAGTGGTATTCATATTAGAGAAGATAAAAGAGCAGTATTCTAGGGAAGATCGTACACATATTTTGTAAAGGGTAAGCTTAGCATCTGTTGTGAAGAAATTTTTTGTTATGAAGCCAATTAGACGTCTAGCTTTAGAAATAATAGAGGAGGCGTGTGCTTTAAAGTTTAGGCTTCCTGTGTAGTTTATTCCTAGATCGTGTACTGAATTAAATGTCTGGACATTACTTTTATTTAAGTAAAGTTGGGGTTCATAGGGGTGCTTTCCAAAGTGTATGATCCCGCATTTGTGGAGGTTAAATGGTAATTGCCACTTTTCGCTCCAGATAGTTAGGTTATTGAGATCATGTTGAATCAGGGGTACACTTTCACTTAGAACCTCAGGCTTATAGCTGTATACTATTTTGAGATCATCAGCATATAAGTATGGTTTCCCAGATTTTATGATGTTACATATATCGCTTATATACATGAGAAACAAAAGTGGGCCTAATACACTTCTCTGGATGACATTTGATGTAGTGTATTTTGTTTACGTGCTTTCCTCAGATTACGGAAAATTATGACATCTGAAGTTAAAAAAACCTTTTCAGTCCATATTTTGATGGAACTTGAAAAGTTACTTCGGTGGGACTATAATTTATATACGACCTTTGACCTACTTGGAGTGACCTTGAGGCAATTCACTACTTACCAGTTTCAAAAGAGTGCTGCATGAGGAATTAGGAGTGGGATTTAGAGTTTGAATTTAAGATTATGCATTAAATGTCTTTATCATCAACTGATATCATCTATAACGCCTGAATGATATTTAATTATATGGATGGATGAATTTCGGGCTCCAGCCCAACACTTGCTACCTTTGATTACATTGGTACGGCCATAAGCTATAGTCTTGCCGTTATTTCCTCATTTTCCCTTACATAAAGGAGTTCACCACAGTTCTAAAATGAGTTCAGACAATGACAATCGAGAATGTAAGTGAATTTGTAATGGCTTTTGTTCTGCTGCTTTCTACCTGATTTATCTTCTGGACCATCGGTACCCAGAACATTCTTAGTACTCTTTTAGTAACATCCTTTCTAGTTCATCTTGGTTTCTATCCATCCAACGTTACGTTGATTCAGTCCGGAGAGTAATGTAATGGTATTAGTGCTCGACTACACAATCCTTGAAGATGAAGATACGATAACTGAGAAAATGCACACTCAACATCCATCACTTGGAGAAGGTCAGAAACGGTGAACACGAGAACTCTTAATCGATGTTAGATATCTTGGCCATATGGGCATAGTCACTCTGTAACTTCTAGCTTTTCATATTAAGCACGTTAAACATTCTCTAGTCCAAATATGTTCTTCAGAAGTCCTAAACACCACATCACTGAATAACACGTGAAACAAGTCAGTACAGACAGTGATGCGAATTCCATGTAAGACCTCATGGACTAAGTAGTCATATCATGTGAAGTCTATGATTTTGGACTAAGTCTACTACTCCGATAATAGAGATGAATGGGCTTAAAAACGACCTGGAAACTAGTAAACCTCACCAATTTAGGCCGATAGGAGGAAAGATACCTTGGGTAGAACCGATTCAGACATTGGCATTAACCAATTATTAAAAACCGTATATCTCAAACACGGACGATGCTGACAGTGACTTTGAGTGGAAGTGTGTTCGATAAAATGAGCATGTAGTGTAAAGCGAGATACCTAACCTGGCTAGTGACGATCGCTGAATGGCTGCCGTCAGCCAGTTTATACGTAGTGAAGCTAACGAAGTTAGTATAGATTACCAATATAGTGACTTATGTGAGTTGTCGGGGTCTATTCGAGTTGGACGGCAGTGATGTGGGCTTTTGGTTTACATCAAAGTTATATCTCATGGTTGCTACCTAGCGTGGATTACCCTTTCATGATATCCAAGTAATTTAACTACTTTGGTGACTGTATCAAACACGACATTACTAAAGAAATGCGTTGGTAGGAATAACACTGTAGATTTCAGACTAAGGCTTGGAATGAAAAATAACTGTCTAGGCAGTTTAGATATGCGCTATTGTCCAGATGAAACTAAAATAAGGCAATTTGATAAATGACGGCTCTAAGCAAATATTACCACCTAGTTATTCAACCAATAACTGTTCAATTAGTAGTCAAATCAAGTGAAACAAACAAACGTTATTCTATCATTTCTGAACAGACCATGGACAGGTGCGTTCGAAAGATGATATTTGGCTGCGTTACAGCACAGTGTTTCCAATTCTGAAACAGTGCTCCAATACACAATCAAGCAGCACAATCAAAAAAGGGGAACGAGTCAATAAGGCTGCCATCAAGACAAAGTGTCAACTAAAACAACATAAATGTAGTTCAGGAAAACCATGTAAACTCAGTGAAGGCGTAAGTAAAACAAAAACTAAAATAAAACACAATTAGTACCATCTCCAACGTAATCAAAATGATCAACATACTATACATGTAGAGGAATCAAGAGGAACGGGCTGCAAGTGTATATGTGATATTTTTGCTTGCCGAAGAACAATATCACTATTGAATGCTGAAAAGTCACTGCCTTAGCGCGAATATTTGTTACTACATGCTGAAAATGCTGTGCGTACAATCTAGAAAAGTAAGGAATGTAGGACCATGATGTGTAATTACATTTTATTTTGAATGACAGTGCTTCTCTATATCATTTCATGCAAACTATTAATGCTACCCAGTTGAGCGGCGACTTGATATTTATTAGCCAATAGAAAAGCCGATCAGCACTGAAAGCCAGGGAACTTACTTGGTGATCAATTAACGAATATTCTTTTTGCTATCATATCTCTTCACAATGTTATTATGTAAAATAAGCATGGTTCTTCTGTATTTTGTTCTTGCTTTGTGATTTATCACAACTCACTGAACTTCCAAAATGCACAATACAATAAGATAAAGAGTGTAAAATCATACTTTGTCTCCTAGCCTAAAACCTGAACATTCTGGCAAATGACATCTGGACTTGGTTGCACACCGACTTTAAGATAACGTGAACTACGGGTAGATCAAGAAAGAGTATAAACTTTGAACTTAGGCATAACCGTCAAACTGTTTGTTCCCTGGAATCTACGTCTGAGAAGTAGGAAAGCAATCTTGATAATTTAAAAGTCCGGTTACTGTTTTTCCTTTCACAACTGAAGAGTGGACGAATTTAGTCATCAAAAGTTGAGACAGTCGAAAAGTAACAAACAGAGTAATTACCCTCACTACCATGGTGACTGAAACGGTCCACACATGTTAAGAGACAAGAGTATCCATTTGAACCAGGTAAGGGTCCTACCAGATCCGGATGAACATGGTTGAAACGAGCATCGGGAGTTGTAAACGAGCCAAAGGGACATTTTTTGTGCCTATCCACCTTAGTTTTCTGACTGCTTACACACGAGTGTGCCCACTCCCTCATTTCTTTATTCATACCAGGTCAGAAAAATTGTTCTGCTATGATCTTGATGATTGCACAAACACCTGGATAAGGTTTCTGCAATGTATTGAAGGCGACGTGTCGATAGAGTTTCGGCACAATTGGACGTTCCCTACATGTAGATGTGTCACATCGTAAGTTTTTACCTGTCCTCAACCGTTTTTTACATGTAGTTTCAGGGTTGTCGAAGATAACTGCTGAAGATCAGTGTCTTCTTCTTGAAAATGGACGAGTTTGGTAAGGCTGATGTCTTGGCAGTTATATGAATGTGTTGTATATCCGAAACAAACTGCGGAATATAGTCCAGTTGTCGAGACTCTCGAAGTGAGTATTTGTCTGAAGATGAGCTAAAAGAGAAAGTAAGAGGATTTTGATTGGTGCACAGGGTGAATTCTCGACCTTCGATAGTGTTGAAAGCTTCCTACAGCACAATACGTAGCCAGGAGTTCCCTACCGAAAGTGCTGTACCTTGATTCAGTGTTTAGCAACCGTCTCAAGAAGAATTCCAAAGGTTGTCAGGTGTGGTCAACCCACTGTTGCAAGACTCTTCCGATTGCTGAGCCGCATGAGTCTACTGCGATAATAATGGTTGCTTCTGTGTCCTGGTGTGCGAGCACGGTTGCTTTGGAGATTAGTTCCTTAACTGCGAAGGATGCTTTTTTCGCGGTATCGTTCAAATTGATGGATACCGCACTTCCACGAAATTGGCTTGTTAAAGGTCTCACAAGAAACATGCATTTCGGTAGATGAGTCCATTCAAACTTGTGCGGTCAGCATCAAATGTCGAAGACTTACAGAGCTATGGATTTCGAGGATTCATTTACCGCTACACTGACAAGCAATACAGGAGAATCAGGAGAGATGTGGCCAAGATCTGTCACAACTCACATGGCTTTCTCTACCCGAAGAGAACGCTAATAAGTTTCAGCAACAATTTACTCTCTAGAGGACATCCATTACATTAGAAAAGGAAAGAACTCTCATTAAAACTCGTACAAAATTCTTAGCTGTTCAAAACAAAAAGTTATGTAATTCATTACCATAAGCTGTATTGATGAGATCCTTTTTAAATCTTTCAAAAGAAAACTGGGCAACTACTTTAGTTCTGTAGTTACCAAGAGGGATTACTTGAAGCGCTACACTCGTACCACTTCCATCATTAACCAAATTACTTAATCCGCTGGTTTCTATTAAAAACGCAACAAGGGTGATGTTCCTCAGTAACGAATAACACACTCCAGCTTCATAGATGCAAATCCCGAGGAGCAAATATTTCTTTACATCTGCTTAATAAATTTTAGATTGAAACCCATTTTTCAGTTAACGTTCCTTCAGACTCCTGAGATATGAATAAGCAGATTTTATATTTTTCCACCTAATACAGAGGTTCTTGAATTGAAGACACACTTCATCATGTCTTCATACCTATAAAGCTAAACGAAAACATAAAGAACGCTAACTCCTTTGGCGGGAACGATACCAAGTTCAAGGTTTACACAAGATGATGGGGTGGGTTGTACTAATTTCCTTCTTTACATTTATAACCAGTCACTTTCTCAAAATAACGACAAAGGGCCTGGTTCTCCGTGGTGGTATTATACTTTCATTACTAGACAATAATCGGATTATATTGATAACAATATGAGAAGTCATACACTTCCCACGTATGTTCGAAGCAACGTACGTTACTTATGAACTGGATGTACATCCGATCAGACGGTACACATCAACAAATTAAGAAATGCGTTGTAAATCAGCCGGCCTAGTGCGATTGTATTTCTGTATGATTATTGTCACGTTACGTAAGACTTACAGTAATCTTTGCCAGATAGTTCTATCTACTACAGAGAAGGAACAGAAAGCTAGTTTTGAAATGTTACGTACATCATCCGCCCGTCCATGGTAAAGCATAGGCTACACCCGAACTTACCACAGGTCTTTTGGTGAAACCATGGAGTCTTAACCCAGACTTGGTCTAGAAGTTAAGGTACTCAAGCACCCAACTTTAAGACGAAATTGACCAATTTCGGAACAGTCCCGATCAAGTCTATGGATGGGTTCTAAGAAAATGTGGCAGAAATCTATAATTAGCTCAGTCTTTGGATTTTTGCTTAAAATTTATCTGAAATCACCGTAAAGTGGGAACTTTTCCTTAAATTTCCACACGCATTAAGAAAATCCTGTAATGTAACACTTTTTTTCCTAAGAAAATGCTAATTAAGTTTTCATATAGCTAATAACTACACTATTTTGTGTCGTTATGAACCAGAATAGTATTATTCTGTTCGGAACGTTTTTGCAGCACGACTGTGTATTTAGACCTTTTCGACTAATGTCTAGATTTATTGTTCCTGATTAATAAAAAAAGTCTGGATTCGTTCCCAAAAAATAATGTATCATCTTATTTCACTAGTTGGTTTCAAGTATGTTCTAGACTTTCATGTGTGGTTTTGTGGGCTTGTATTAATGCTTTTATTTATGTCTCCGTATGCTTTGTAAGTTGTTGACTTCTGTTTTTTTTCCTGTTATTTTTCAGTCTTATGTCAACTCGCTAGACTCCTAGCACCAGCTATACACACTATAATCTCTGATTTGACCGTCTCAAGCGGTTTTGTAATTGATAGAAAAGCATTGTTATTGTCATGATTTTACATCTCTTTTTGCTGGTCTTTCTTACGTTTGTTAGAGGGGAAATTGTGAATGATGTCATCTTACCATCTAAATGTGAAGGTTGGGCACTGATTTGGTCTAAAGTGTAGTTTGCAAGTTACTTGTAACAGAAATTCTGTCACGTCTTCAAGAAACCAAGTCAAGTGATGCTTTGAACGTGAGATCTGTCCAAGGGGATTCAAAGAAGGTTAAATATGAAACATCGTTGGTCTTTACCTTGGTTTACTTTATCACTTATTAGAGAACTTAGACTTTATGAAGTTCTGGAAGATCCTCCTATTTGCAACAGGTTACTTCAGTACAAAGTTCATAAAGAGCGTCAAGACAGTAGCAGATTTGATAAAGGTACACCCCAGACGATGAAGTCCCTTACGGAACTGGTGTATGTCTCTCTTAATGCTTCCTTAATCTTGATAGAAACCGTGGCGTTGATGTGAAGCTGGATGTCCCTTTTGAGCTGTGGGATAAACCATCAGTAGAAGTAACAACCTTATTCAAGGAGGTAAGTCTACTGAGTAGTGCTTAATTTAGAAGTGTATCCCACTCGTTAATGAATACCAAGACATTATAGAAGAATGGTTTTACAGCAATCAAGATATAAATCTTTATGATTACCTTTGCCGTGAAAATGTTCTAGACAAATCTTCTCAAGGTTAGCACTTTTTCTTAAACGTGAATTTTTTGTTTATTCGTGATGATCAGTCTCAACAAAATGTTTCTCATATGTGACATTTATATAACCTTTTATGGAGTTGAATATGCACTTTTACTTTATATTTCAAGTAAAATTATAAATTCCCCGGTCAGTGAAATATAACCTAGTTTCGTTTAATGCCACCGAGTTCTAAATCCAATGCACGAAATCAAATTATTAACTACGTATATTGTGTGAAAGAAAGGGATATTATGTCGCTACCAAAATCATATTGGTCAAGAAAAGGTTCGGAACTTGAGTGAGTAAATGAACTCCCGACCGTTGCTGCCACCTTGGCGTGGTGGTCGGGCTTGCCTATCGTGATGATGCAATCGAGCTATGCTGGCTGAAACAATCGTTCCTCAAGGTCCTACCATGCCAGACAGGTCGGTTGAAGAGCGGTGAGACTAAAAGCAGCAATCCCAAGGTCCGAAGGCGAAGTCGTACTGCTGACTGTACAGAGGTGTGAAAGCAGTAAGGTGTTTCCTTCAGACAACAAGCATGACAGCGATGCTGCCTTCCCACAAGGAGGGGTGGGGTTAGAAAAGGTCGACCCTAAAAATGCACACCTCGCCTTATCCCACGGATTTCCGTCTCCGGCGGTAAGGTTTTTTTTGAAGAACGGAGCTAACACGTCAAAAATCCCCCACAAAAAGGCCGTGCGTGACCGACCTCAAGCAGTTGTCCCTTGGGCACTGCGGTCACGCTCCCAGGTCGTTAAGACCAACACTAATCCAACTTCTTTTTCAGGTCCCTCAAGAAATACCCTTCCACGGTGTGGGCAGCCGGGAGGTGATATTAGCCCTCATACCCGTAACTGCACACGAGATCAAGTTGGTCACTTTCAAATCCTTCCTACACCTCCTAATAACTCTCTTATCTCCACGACTAACCCTTCCCACGTCTTTTATCTCCTCGCACCGCTAGGGCAAACGATTCGAGTACACAGAACGTTATTCCTGGTCTCCTGAAACCACGCTCCAAACTACATGTAGGAACTTTTAATGTCCGAACATTGTGCCAAATAGGACAACAGGCTTCCTTAGCTAGGACTCTAGAATCTTACACCATCGATGTGTGCTGCGTCTCCGAAACGCGCATACAAGATCCGAGTAGTGTCATTCATTTGACCTCACCTAATCAAAATAAAGTTTCATCTCGATACATGCTTCGTGTATCTGGAAGCCCTGATGCTGCTTCCTGTGGCCTCGCTGGAGTAGGTATAGCATTAAGTCCTAGGGCAGAACTAGCTCTTTTAGACTGGATCACAGTAGACAGTCGTCTATGCGCTGTCCGACTAAACGGATCAGTAAGGACCCGGAAATATAAGGAAACTCGTCGTTGCCTCTTCGTCGTCTCTGCCTACTCTCCCACTGACTGCAGCTCAGACAATATAAAAGATAAGTTTTACAGGAAACTTTCTGACCTTCTCCGAAAAGCTAGGCGTTCTGATGTAGTAATAGTGGCTGGTGAATTTAATGCTCAAGTAGGTAAACTAAGTGAAAGGGAAAGACACCTGGGTGGATCTTATGGTGTCGTGGCAAAAAGAACAGATAATGGCGACCGTCTGTTGCAGCTGTTCTCAGATGACCGCCTACTTCTTGCAAATACTAACTTTAAGCATAAGGAAAAACATCTTTTGACATGGCGACCCCCGAATTCGTCCCAACGTTGGACCCAATTAGATCACATCGCTATCAGCCACCGATGGAGGGGCTCGATAGAAGACTATCGCTCATTCTGGAGCACATGTTTAGACTCAGATCATGCTCTAGTGCGAGCACGTATCTGTCTGCGTCTTACTGGACGTAGGAAAGACACTGCAGGGAAGCCTCTAAGGGTTCTACTTAATGATAAGCAAGCTAAGAATATATTTCAGGAACAACTGGAAAAACAGTTAGACAGACATGTAAGTTGTGCCTACCCCGAGGCAACGTGGAATGACATCCGAAAAGCTATGGAAACAGCAGTGATATCCGCTAGTAAGGTAAGCCATAAGGTCAGGGAGAAAAAATGGATCTCAACAGCATCTACCGTATTGATAGACGCTCGAAAACTCACCCCACCAGGCTCTGAACATAACGAAGAGCGGAGTCAGCTTAAGCGAAGGCTAGTAAGAAGCCTACGTAATGATCGTGAACAGTGGTGGGTAGCGAAAGCAAGAGAGATGGAAAAGGCAGCGGCAATAGGTAACAGCAGACAGCTATTCAGACTTATTAAAGAAACCGGCATTAGGAACCCAACTATTAGAGAAACTATCTCAGACAAAGATGGACATGTTATTTATTCTTAATCCAGGAGATTGGATCGATGGGCAGAACACTTTAGGGATCAGTTCGATAGAAGACTATCGCTCATTCTGGAGCACATGTTTAGACTCAGATCATGCTCTAGTGCGAGCACGTATCTGTCTGCGTCTTACTGGACGTAGGAAAGACACTGCAGGGAAGCCTCTAAGGGTTCTACTTAATGATAAGCAAGCTAAGAATATATTTCAGGAACAACTGGAAAAACAGTTAGACAGACATGTAAGTTGTGCCTTCAGTGTGGCCTTCAACCACACTTCAGTTACCCACGATCCCCAGTCGTCCTGAATGGCAAATTGAGGTAAGTCCTCCAACTCTCTACGAGGTTAAAAAAGCTATAGGAAATCTAAAGCGAGGGAGAGCCGCAGGCCCTGACAGGTTTACCCCTGAGATTTTTAAGGATGGTGGTCCAGTACTAGCAGCGAGATTGACTGAGGTCTTAGGTAGAATCTGGGAACTGGATGTAATTCCATCTAACTGATTGTGCCAGTCTATAAGAAAGGACAAAAGTCCTCCTGTGACAATCACAGAGGGATCAATTTGACTAATATAGTGTCTAAAATATTAGCTTCAATAATACTAGGTCGCCTAACCAAAGCTCGTGAAGAGCAGACTAGAGAAAACCAAGCTGGTTTTCGACCTGGACGTGGTTGCATAGACCAGATATTCACCCTACGTCAGGTCCTAGAACATAGACACGAATTCAGACGTCCCACAATAGTAGTATTTCTTGACCTTAAGGCGGCATTTGACTCCGTTGATCGTGAGGTTCTATGGCAGTGTTTGTCACTGAAAGGAGTACCGAAGAAGTACATTAACCTCATAAAGGCTCTCTACTCGAACACAACTGGTCGAGTTAGAGCCTATGGCGAACTGTCATCAGAACTGATTACCACAAGTGGCGTTCGTCAGGGCTGTCCACTCTCCCCATTCTTGTTTAACTTTGTCATTGACATACTTTTAGAGATAGCACTTTCATCAGCTAAACCTCCAGGAGTTGAACTTTTACTGGGAGATTCACTTGTTGACTTAGAATACGCCGACGACATAGTTTTACTCGGTGAAGACGCTGACAACATACAGAGTCTTCTGACCACTATAAGCAACTATGCAGGCATGTTCGGGATTCGATTCTCTCCCTCGAAGTGCAAAATGTTACTTCAGGATTGGGTTGTATCGACACCTGAACTAATGATAGGGAGTGAAGTAGTTGAGCGTGTTGACAGCTTCACTTATCTTGGGAGTCTCATCAGCCCTTGTGGTCTGGTATGTGACGAAATCTCAGCACGGATAGAGAAGGCTCGTCTAGCTTTCGCCAACTTGCGTCATTTATGGCGTAGGCGAGATATCCGTCTAGCAACCAAAGGACGGGTTTACTGTGCAGCAGTTCGCTTTATGGCAGTGAAACATAGCCAATAAGAGTAGAGGATATTCGTAGGCTACTAGTGTTCGATCATAGGTGTATTCGAAGCATTGCTCGTATATCCTGGGACCACCGGGTAAGTAATGCAGTTGTTAGGAAACGAGTACTAGGTAGGGATGGCAAATCGATTGATAAAGTAGTGAAACTTCATCAGTTTAGATGGCTGGGACATGTGTTACGTATGCCCGACCACCGACTGCCCCGACGTGCAATGTTTCATGGTGTAGGAGTAGGTTGGAAGAAAGCTAGGGGTGGCCAGACCAAAACGTGGCATAAGTCCATGAAGTCACTGACAATTGGACTGAGTCATGTTGGTAGGTGTAGACTACCTGGTTGGGATTCGCGAGATGATAGCAACCGATGGTTAGAGACCTTGTATGACATGTCAGTCAGTCACAACGTAGAACTTCGTACGTACGTACATCAGTTCGAGTTGCCATACCACATTAGCACAGAGATGCAGTTGTCGATTCAAATCCCACAGTGGTAGAAGTAGTAGGAGTATAATCAGAAATCCAAAAGATTAGGGTTTGAAGAAATTATTGAACGAGTATAGTACAGTGAAATAAATTTGGAAAGAGAAAAAGATAAAGACATGAGGAATTCAGAAGATTAGAATTCGGTAGAACACAAAGAGTGGGTCCTTACTAATCCGTTTAGTCGGACAGCGCATAGACGACTGTCTACTGTGATCCAGTCTAAAAGAGCTAGTTCTGCCCTAGGACTTAATGCTATACCTACTCCAGCGAGGCCACAGGAAGCAGCATCAGGGCTTCCAGATACACGAAGCATGTATCGAGATGAAACTTTATTTTGATTAGGTGAGGTCAAATGAATGACACTACTCGGATCTTGTATGCGCGTTTCGGAGACGCAGCACACATCGATGGTGTAAGATTCTAGAGTCCTAGCTAAGGAAGCCTGTTGTCCTATTTGGCACAATGTTCGGACATTAAAAGTTCCTACATGTAGTTTGGAGCGTGGTTTCAGGAGACCAGGAATAACGTTCTGTGTACTCGAATCGTTTGCCCTAGCGGTGCGAGGAGATAAAAGACGTGGGAAGGGTTAGTCGTGGAGATAAGAGAGTTATTAGGAGGTGTAGGAAGGATTTGAAAGTGACCAACTTGATCTCGTGTGCAGTTACGGGTATGAGGGCTAATATCACCTCCCGGCTGCCCACACCGTGGAAGGGTATTTCTTGAGGGACCTGAAAAAGAAGTTGGATTAGTGTTGGTCTTAACGACCTGGGAGCGTGACCGCAGTGCCCAAGGGACAACTGCTTGAGGTCGGTCACACACGACCTTTTTGTGGGTAGTTTTTGTGTTAGCTCCGTTCTTCAAAAAAAACCTTACCGCCGGAGACGGATATCCGTGGGATAAGGCGAGGTGTGCATTTTTAGGGTCGACCTTTTCTAACCCCACCCCTCCTTGTGGGAAGGCAGCATCGCTGTCATGCTTGTTGTCTGAAGGAAACACCTTACTGCTTTCACACCTCTGTACAGTCAGCAGTACGACTTCGCCTTCGGACCTTGGGATTGCTGCTTTTAGTCTCACCGCTCTTCAACCGACCTGTCTGGCATGGTAGGACCTTGAGGAACGATTGTTTCAGCCAGCATAGCTCGATTGCATCATCACGATAGGCAAGCCCGACCACCACGTCAAGGTGGCAGCAACGGTCGGTTGTATGACATGGCTGAAAATCGTTTGCAATGGCGAAGGTGTATCCACTCTTTGTGTTCTCCGAAATTGTAATCTGAATTATTTGTGTCCTTTTTCTCTTTCCAAATTTATTTCACTGTATTATACTCCCTCAATAACATCTTCAAACCCTTATCTTTCACATAATACTTATACCCTTACTTCTACCAATATGGGATTTGAATCGACAACTTCATCTCTGTGCTAATGTGGTATGGCAACTCGAACTGATGTACGTACGTACGAAGTTCTACGTTGTAACTGACTGACTGACTGAGTAAATAAACTACCATATATTACACGCTTTTGTAACATTTAGAAACCACTAAACTTCACTTATGTAGATTTCTACAAAATTTGGGAATCCAAAGTCATCTTTTTTTACAAAATAAAAATCACCTGTAAGTACCAGCTCATCATGAAATGTTTGTATATAATGCTAAGTAAACATTTTCTTACAGATATCAAGTTAAAGTTATTTACTTCATTAATTTGTGCTAGACTTACCGACTGCTATAAACCCACGATGGAAAACTTGCCTTTAAGTACATAAATCCATATTTTCGTCTAGTTAACTCGCGTTTCACATACTGCTCACTCCATGCAGTTGTCAATCGTGACCACTAAAATCTTTCGATAACAATAACTTAGCATTTCCTTCACGCCACAATACATTTCTTTTTAACAAAATAATACGACAGACTCGATTAAAAACATGACTGCTGTTCATCAAGACATTTTCAAATGTTGTTGATTCGTTCGGTTTGAATAAATTTCAGGCGAAAAGCTAAGATTTCACTTTAAACATATTCGTGACATGATACTTCAAATTAACTTTTGAAACAATAACTAAGTCAAGTAGTCACAGGGTAAAATGGTATCACGCGTTATCTACGTACTAGAAAATGTTATCTTATTTTTTAAAAAACACATTGTTTTGATAAAATTGAAGGGAAGCCATATACAATAGTTCAGGTTATCACACTAAATAATCATTAAAACTAATACCAAATAAACTAGGAAATACAAATGTGAGTTAAACCTGATTGTATAAATCACCAATCCACTCAATAGCAAAAACAATCTGATACTGGAGATTTTAGGCTTCGTTCTACGTTAATCATGGGTCAGTGTGCAACGAGAGTCTAGTATGTAACTGTTTTGTGTACTGATGAATGAAATTTCACTGAAAGTATATGTTCCTCAAATCAATAAATGGTAAATATATCGTGAACATTAGTTCACTAATTTTTCAATACTTTGTGGGAACTAAATTAAGTCAATCTACGTACGCAACAGTCTCGTTAATGAACATTACAAAACCACAAACCAACCCCAAAATTCATTGTACTTCCTAACAGCAGTCATGATTAAGTCATTTACTGGAGATCACAGGCTACGGTTCTGTTAGTTCCTTCACAAAGATAACATCCTGTTAATAAAGGAAATGCCACTCAATTATTCCAGTGAGAATAACATCTTTGGAGATTTCTAAATTGTGTGTTAAGTGTGTTTTTGACCATGTTCGTGATAACTCTAAATATGACAAAACTTTTGCGGCTTGAGTTTACCATAAGGTAAAGTGCTGCACACCATTGTATTAAACTTTCAACGTGAAACTATGTCGACAATATGAAGTCACTAAGAAAAAACCCAGTAATAATGGACTTGGAGAAAATTCCAATGTAGTACGGGGAACAGTTGGCTTAGTTTATTAATTTTTTTCTTATCATTTTCTTAAATCAGTGGCACTATACCAAGTTTCAACGTGTACGTTTAACCGATCTGCTAGTCTTAGTTTTGCTCCTGCGACTTAATCTTTCGGTAAACTAACGAATTGGCATATTTTGTTTTTCAGGGTGCTTGAATGAAAAATCTCCAAATCAACCCAAACATTCACCAGGTTTGAACTAAGATTGTCTCCTTGCATTTTCAAAATACTGTTGATATCATACAAAACCTTTTATACGTGTTCAGCATTACCCCCTAAAAGTTTCTAGAATGCACGAATGTTTGTGACATTATTAGTAGTCAAAGATCATTTTTGTAGACTCGTAACCACCATAATTTTTTAATGTGCTTTCAACATCATACAAATTTGTAAACTCGTATTCTCATGGATACCCAGTGTGGCTTTAAAGATTATCTACCAGTGAAGTAAACCCCTAAATGCAATAATTTACTTGATACAGGACCATTACAAGTTTCTTCAACGTTTAACTTAAAGAAGTTAGTATTCCCTTAAACTAAGAAAATAATCAGTTGAAATTAATCCTAAAAATATTGTGTTTTTTGTACGTTTCTTCCCACCATCCACTTGCCAAATTGTCAATTGATTGTCTCTTTCGATTTCAAAGTGTAGATAGGTGATCAAATATTTACAAGCAATGTATAGTAACTCAGGACTTAGAAAATTATATTTCATTGTTAATTTTTACCTTATTGTATAGACCTATAAAGCTTAATGCATGTATCGCCCAGCAGTCATTATTATATATGAATAATTTGCTTATGTTGTACTGAATCAGTCATTTCTTTTTCTACACCTATCCTACTCTGGATTATTATTTTGCAACATATCGGTCTATGTTTATTCATACGCCTTGTGTCCTGTTATATTGATTTTAGTTACGTGTCGAACGTCTATCTAAACTTCATAAACTAAAGCATATCAAACACTTGTTAATAATTATATCAATCTTTGTAACTTAAAGTTGTATGCAGCTGATGAAAAACCGTGAAATAGAATGAATCCACTTTATTCCACAAAGGTTGTTGTTGCTTCTCTGTTTAAATTAATTTTTCATTCATAGTTGTAAGGCATAAACCAGGTAGTTCGTCTGTAATTTTAATAATCGATGGTTGAAATATAAGTCTAATCCATAAACCTTTTGGAAGTTTAAGGTGTCCTAGTCACTGAAACAACTCCTTACACTTATAAATAGTCGTTTTTTAATTACTTCCTACAAGCTTGGTGTCCTTTTTCTTATTGATACATGAAAGTAATTGATGTTTAATATTATTTCTTGCTTATTTTATTTCAGAATTACACCAGTCGGAAGAGTTATAATTTATGTACAACATATTAGCGTCTCTTGACTAGTTTTCATTGGTTCTACATTTAGATTCATGGGGTTTTTGCACGTGTAACTACATTTCAAGTGAACTTTTTTTTACTGACCAATAATTGTATTGTATATTCCTTTTTCAAATAAATACTGAACATTTCTAATCAGTTTGTTTTTACGTTTGGAAAGATATTTTGGTTAAAAACTGAGTAATTATATAGTTAAAATCCTTTCGAAAGTAGATTTTACGTTTGTCTTATTATATTATTGAAATAATTTATTCAGATATAGCCCCGAACATTTTAGTTTGAGCTATTCATAAACAAACAAAGATCATCAACATAGGACCTGGCACAATAATGCGTTACCCCAAGTTTCCATGCTATATTAGTACGACGAGATGAAAATAAAAGATATCAAAATAATTTACTAGCAATAATAAAAAAGTGTCTACACCTTATAAATATGGTTAGAAGAGAATAGAAAAATATTTATGAAGAGATGCTGGGATTCATGATCGTAAGGAAGATAGAGTAAATGCATTTGCGACGTTGTAACCGGTTGTGGAACATTCCACCAAAAGTCTCCAACCACTGATCACGGCTGTCATGCGGACCTTAACGAGGTATTCTGTATCTATCACCTCGGCTCAGATCGGTATTCAATGACTTCATGGATTGTTGTCACGTTTTGGTTAGGCTGCTCCTAGTCTTCCAATATACTGCTCTAGTAAGTATCATCCATCAAGTTAGGTAGTGGTTAGGATTATGCAACATATATCCCAACCACCTTAGTGAATGAACCACGCCAACCGACTTGCCACCCTTTCCACATACCCTAAGCTTAACGTCGATATTGCTCACTCGGTCATTCGATGAAACGTGAGCACTTCTTTAAAGACTCGTTTGATCAAGACTCTACAGTCTGAGCATGTTTTCTATATTAACAGACAGCTATAAAGTACAGTTGGACGGATAGCTGTACAATATACACGCTCTTTGGTCACCAGACATACATCCACAACACGGCGCAAGTTAAGGAACCCCAGTCGCACTTTCTAAATCCGTGCCGAGATTTTATTATACATCAATCCACTGGGATTGATGAGACTTCCATGATAAGTAAATTGATCGATACACCCAACTACTTCACTCCCTATCACTAATTTAGGCCTTGACCCACACCAGTCCTGAAGTAACATTTTACATTAAGAGAGAGAAACCCATCCTGAACATGCTAGCCGCTGCTGAAGGCGATCAGAAGATCGGAAAATACGTGCTTCGATTTATACATCCATGCAGTATCCCAGCTCACACAAATATGATTCTAACCATCGAAGAAGTTGTTTCCGCTTCGTTTTCACCGTATTCATTACCACCTGGTAACATACAGATTTTGCTTTACAGTACATGGTTTTTTTATTCCCACTCTGTGTGCTTTTACCCTCCAACTCAGCACATCATTTATGTTAAGAAATCCTGTTTAAGTGATCTGAAGTTGCTGAGTGGTCGACTTTATGAACGCCCCCACTAAATACGAAATCAAATACAGCTTATTTGAACTGGCCGCTGACGTTGGAACACTGATTCAGATTGTAAAGCGAATGGGTCCAACTATATCTTCGGAAAGTCTTAATATAGATGGATGTATGGCATGTTTCTGTGGTTCACAATCAAAACTACTGATGAACTGTAATTTAGTTCTCTATCTGTACAAATGAGTTAAATATTCCTTTTGCGATGATGGGTCTAGTTTTTTAGCAATGGACAGTTTAACTGATTTTTAAGGACGAGTTCTTCAAACATCAACGGTATTTTGAAAATCATTCTTGAAAAAAGTAGTGAAGATTCGTAACTTAATGTCAGGTCAGTCTTTTGACCAAATAAGTGAGTTAGGCCTACCTTTCATCTAACTGATGTATTGGTTTCTTATATATGTGGAAAAAAATGGCCTCGTCCTGAGATGGATGGGTCCGGTTATTTTATTTCTGAATGACACGAAAGTGACATAGAACTTGTATTCATCAATGTGTATTGGTCCAAGTTACCAAACCTGATGTTAGCAGGAAAATAACAGTGTGTGTTTCCCACCAGCAATGAAACACTCGGAGGAATCAGTAGAATGGAGATGTGAGTTGTGTACATAGTGTAATGATTAGGATCGAACGTAGTCACATTCGTACCAGGAGCGCCTACTTGTACGGTTAGCATGAGGGGATGGGATCTTGCTTTTTTATCCATAACTTGTCATAAAGTCCAATGACTTCATGAACTGATATCATGGGTTTAGCTGATCAATCTAAGCATGTTCTTAAGTCAATCAACAGAGCATCACGGCGTGGCTTAGTATAAATAACACACATTAACTCTCCTAACTGGTAAATTTTCTGGACTTTTTATTTCGAAAACGTGAATTAAGATGTTTACTTCATAAACGTCTTGAACTTTTGCGGGGAGTTTCTTAGCAACAAGACTGAAACACTACTTTCCGACCAGTCATTTCAAGAACTAACGCTTGCCGAGTTTCAGGAAATCGCACCTACTAATGCGTCGCGACACCTGTTTTGGGCTTCACTTTGACAGCCGATTTATATGCTGATAGTTTGTATAAGAATTTCCTCATGGGATAGTTATTAGTAGTGTTAGATATAATGTGTTTGTAGTTTTGCGTGCTATAGTTGCTATAACTAGGGATTTAGTCACCTCCAGTGAGCCACCGACAGATTGGGTGTCTTAAGTCCATGGGTAGCTACGTCGAGAAATATAATTCTTGGATGACGCCCACCATCCATGAATGAAGATGAGATTTGTGCTTGATGACTGCCGATTATATAACCGTGTCTTTTTGGTTTAAAATAGCGATCCATCATTTGAATCTCTCGCTGTCGTTTCTCGATACTATATATGATAACTAGACTGTAAGCTATAATCGATGGAGAGCGTGACACTAATATGCAATGGCCTAGGCTGCCATATTATATCAGCAAGACGAGGTGAAATCACCATAATGGATAACAAGAGTCGAAATAATTTTATTACTTATGACGACGAAAAAGACTAAACATTGAGAATACAATTTGACATGGCATGTGAGTTTACATATAAGCTCTCGCACTCATAATTGAAACTCATAGGGATGTTTCTATCTTTTAATTTAGTAAAAGCTTCCCAAACCAACTGATGTTTTTTAAACCTTTAGTTTAGGTTGCTAACATTTTTCACTGCTGTCTGGAGATCATGTTATCCTACCTCGGCATGCACATTCTCTGCGTGGGCAACTATATGCATGGTCTTTCTGGTCAAGATGGGATGTCCAGACTGTTTTAATTTTGATTATAAAGAAACTAGAGACTTTTCCTATCCTTCGGTTTCCATTTAACCAGAGAGCAAAATCCAGCCCGTTACCATGTTTTTTTAAGGTGAGTAGTATACACACTAATGGAACTACAAGTCGTCAAACTCTTAGGAAGGAGTTACCTACTTAACGCCAAAGATATTATGAAGGCTCAGACTGATTAGTGTACAGAAGCTCGTTCACATAGCCGTTGGAACTGAGACTAAGTATACCTCATGATTAGAAAATGTCGTACATACACTACGAGAAGGGTAGCAGTGGTTGAAAATATTACTGAATAAAAAATAGTTCAATAAACGACCCTCCGAGCACCTGGAAGAAACAAATAAAGGAACAATTAAACTGGATTGCTAACTGTATATTTAAAAATGGAGACTGATTGTGTAACTTGCTGTAATAGACGTGAAGCACCACACCTCAGGTATACTACTCTTAGATTCAGCAATAACTTGGTTGACTGAGGTTTGAAGCCATATACAGAAGTTGATATTTCTTAAAGAGTTGAGTTAGTATTTGGTTTTTGATATTGTCGATTCAATAACCCGTCAACTTATTATTGGTGTACGTCAGAGCAATAAACATAACTAGATTAGATCATTTTGAATATTGATATATTCATTCAATAGTAAAAATAACGAGAAAAGCAAGATAATATAGTATTATATTTTATCGAAAGTTAGCTCGAGGAAAATATTCCTCTGTAATATAATGAAGCTATTGATACTGAGTTATAGTGTTACGTTTCAATATACAATGACGTTTTGTTCCAGTCACGCTAAGCACAGAAAATGTCTGCTGATGAAGTCGAGTGATGTGTGCTTTACTTGACAATTTGAGGAACAAAACCAATACACAGAAAAGTCGGTTTCAGTATAGGGAAGTTAATTAAATATACAAAAACAAAAGAAAACAGTAAAATATTTACAAGTATAAAAGCATACAAATTAATAAAATACATTTTGATAAGATAAAGAATCCATTCAAAATAATATTATGTTTCTTGATATGTCTCTTGATAAATAAATGATTTGATGTCAGATACACATATGTGCTATCACCTTTTAGTTTTCATTGTTAACTTTAAACACGAATTGGTGCAGTCACTTCTGTACAAAATTATAAAGTAATTGCACACAAAAAATACACACATTTAAACATATTCATCAACTAACTGAATGATTTAATGTTACCTCTGATGATTGACGTCTCAATTGTGGGTGTTTTACAAAGTAGTGGACAACAGGAGTAGTTGGTTTTGTCAGCTCCACTTTATTAGGCGTTTTTATCACATCAGTAACGGATTGGTTTGATTTAATTGATGTGTTTAATTTTTCTGTTCTATGTCTTAACGAAAAATTCCTTTTGTGAGCCAATAAAGATGGTGAACTGTTAGTATTTCGCAGTAGGGAAGTAGTGGTAGTAACGGGGAAAGTAGTTTTGTGCTCCACATGAATATTACAATCACTGTAGTGTTCCTCACTGTCGTAATTGTCATCATCGTCATCATATTCTTCATCTGAACTGACATCTCGATCATGATTACTGACAGCTGAACATGATGGTAAAGATCCTAGTGAAAATACATTATTTGATATATCGAGTGCCCCAATGTTTTGACATCCGGATACATCAGTTACATTTGCTTTGGGTATTAAACTAGGACTCCCATCACAATGTACATCACTTGCTTTCTTCAAGTCTCTAGATTTTGTAGACGATGGAGACAATAAGTAGGGATGAGATGATAAAGATGTCGCCCAATGGACAATTGCACGCTTACTTGGTGAAATGGCTTTCTGATCATCTGTTGACAAATCTAGTGTTTTTGGAAGTGACTGATTGGAATTATTAGTATTCAAATGATTGTTTTTTCTTTCAATACAATAGGGACATGTAAAATACAAAGTAATCTGGAAAAAGAAAAGAATTGTATTGATTCATTTATATTATTAGATCACATAGTAAATATTCAAATTGCATGCAGATCCCTGTTCTTTATTTACTACCGCATATTTGATTATCGTAATGATTTTATTAGTACGGATAAGTAAAAATTTCAATAAAACTTGTGAAAATGATACTACGGTGGCTACCTGCCATTGATCATCCACAATTGTTTCCGATTAATTTTACTAATATGAAAATAGCTTTTTGTTCGCTTAATATATCTGATGTGTGAATTTTATACCAACTCATTTTTTAATGGACAGATCAAGAGAAAAATACAACAACAATCGTTATGATTGGACTTGATTTATGCAGTAATTAGTTAGTGATACGTTGTAAGCTTCTGATAAAATCACTTAAATTGACGTGGCTAATATATATATATATATATATACAATATTTTAATTAAAACAAATCTAAAGTAATTTTGTTGAAACCGTTGGATGCCGGCCCAGTGGTTAAGCGCTCAGGCGCAAAACCGATAGGTCCTGGGTTTGAATTCCGCGAGGCGGGATCGTGGATGCGCACTGCCGAGGAGTCCCACAATAGGACGAAACGGCCATCCAGTGCTTCCAGGTTTTCCATGGTAATCTAGCTTTAATTGATTTATGATCTCAACTATATATAATTACCTAAAAAAACTCCACAAAACCCCTTTCTGAAACATTGAATGTTCGGTAATAAGTATCACGAAAATTTAAACAGACATATATATTTATTCTGAAGTTAAAATTAAGAGATGCAAGCAACTATTTTAACTAACGGCTACAATATTAAATATTAGACAAATTCATATCTATTATGTCCGATGTAACAGCTTCTAGCAACTTTAACTTAATCTACTCTTATTCCACAAAGATGATCATTAATACCATGGTAAATATCCTATGAAAAAAAAATAATTTTAGTGGTAATCATAACTAGAACTATCAAGTGAAAATAAAATACATCTAGTTAGTATTAAGTTAGCCGCTAATTATTGATGATTAATCAATTTTAATCTAGATAATAACAAATCAAATGGTTAACAAAAGAGCAGTTGATCTTAAATTAACAGTTACAGTAAGCAATCTTGTGGGTTGAACAGTCTACAGAATACTGAACGGAAGGGTAGTAACATCGGTCAACCTTCTAGAATCACTTACATCCACAGATTAAAATACTGCTTAATATAGTGAAATAACTTTTGTGAACTAGTTTATTCACAACTTTAGATCTATCGGTCTATAAAGACCAGTCAACATAATATTCCTTACTATATAGTGATCATTTTATACTCTTTATTCAGTTTTCTATTTCTAGTCTAATGACTCAGAAATAATCTAGAACTGCGAAATTGATCATGAGTTTGAATAATGAGTTCTCTTCATATTTTAAACATCGTTTGCTAGAAACAGAAAACGACTCTAAAACTTGGATTCATGGCTGAGAATAGAAAGTAGAGCAGTGTCTTGGTGTTTTAGGTATTTGATTTTCACATTACGGATTGATTTTATTGTTGTTAAACTACAAACTCGACGATCTACACAAGCCCTCTGTATCACTATGTTGTGGCTTTATAAAAGACCGTATCCAATTCGTTATGAATCTATGTCCGGCTTTTATTCACGTGATTTATCCACCAATCGGAATACGACTTTTCCAATTGTAGCGCTGTGCTAACCAATGACTTCGACCGTATGAGCAGTCTAGCGACCTTATTGGTCCCTTGTCCGCCTAGCTCTTGAGTCCAGTACACTAATCACAGCTTTTGCTATGCGAATCATTTATTTCAAGCATACTCGGTCTATATAGCAGACAGACAAACCGCATCACACCAAAAAATAGAAAAAAAATATTTGTACAAAATCAAGCCAAATCTGACTGTGAACGTGGGAGAAAGTAATCAATAAACTGAATATAATTTAGGGACAGTAATTCGTATAATAATAATAATCCATAGGCCGAAATGAAGCTTATACTAAGAAGCATATAGATATACACAACCTAGTTATTCAATATTTAAACGATAAGAATATATATAGAATAATCGTCCATTAACAGATCCTGGGAGTTACCCGTACTTATGTCTTCACCAGGATATAACACACTAGTAAATTATCCCTATACTATTTATCGTTAAGAATGATAAAATGATTTTTTTAGAGAAAACTTATTTATCAAGTGCAGATTCATATGTTCGGCATTGATTCACACTCTAAGTTGGAGAAACAATAATACTAACCAGGCAGAAATAAGTAAAAATATAGAACGTGGTGTATGGAATATAAACCCTGGAATCTATTCAAAACGTACCCTCTTGGCTAAGAATGAACGAGAGCTTGAAATATTGAGAACACTGTGAACCCATGTGAAGGTATTGGATTGTACTTACGAAAAAGCGCACAATTATTCCCAAAGCATTCATCCCTTCGTACAAACACTACACAAAGTCTCCAAACAGAGTTATATGATACGGGATTTGAGCCTGCGACTCTGGCTGAAAGTTGAGCACTTTTACCACAAAGTCAACGTCACACTTATTCTCATTAATCAAGTCAACAAAGTATAGAACGAGAAGACTTACATTGCATTCTGATGTCAAGAATTTCGACTTCCCTTTATAAGCTTTATCTAATTCAGAGAGCGGTAATTTTAGAAATGAGTGACCAAGTAACTGTTCACGAGAGGATGATGCTATTGTTGATGGTGGAAATGCACATGTACAGTGATCATTGTTAAAACCTTCCTAAAATAAAAACAAATAGAAAAGGTCTACTTTTTCTTTTAAATTTGAAATGAATTGTGTAATTGTTTATTCGTGTAAAATCCAGTACTAGCCTATTAGACGCTTGTAAAAACAGCAATTAATTTCAGGAGTTTGGTAAAAACATTAAGTCAAACATCCCGACAGTGTTATATAAGTTGCAGAATGTATAGATTAGGTGAATGTCCCTGCGCGAGTATAACTAATATTAAAAGTTTTGTTTAACTATTAATCTAGAGGTCCTCACTGAATAAGTTGATATCTTTCCACAAAACTAAAATCAAAAAGTTATTCTACAGTGTTTTTAAACTAAGTCTACAACAGCCAGAAGAGAACACCAGAGAAGACGGAATTTCGCAAGAATAATGTGGCGATTCCAACAGATTTACTTTAACAGCGTATGACTGAAAGCTGAATACACAAACTGTACATAGTGAGTTATAATCTAAGTAGGTTCATTGCCACATTAAATGACTACCCTCCATAACTAGAACACAATGACTAGCTTTAATATTTCTAAACTGGCATTTCTAAAATACTGTCAAACTCGCCGAAATAAAGCACTCGAGGTCGGTTAAGTTAGAAGATTGCCTTGTCTGCTTTGACATATTGATATATGAAACTAAATAAATAACAGATGGTTCTGTCAAGTTGAGCCTTACAGCTGAACCAATGAAGAATGGGCAGTCACAGTAGCTCTTTAAAACAGCATAACTTCTAACGAAGATGAAATAGGTGGTGTTCAATGTGAACTGATGACGCTTGGATGGATTTCTTTCGGAAAACATTACAAGCTATTTAAAAGTCAATATAATATGAAAAAGTACAATAATATAGGATTTTGAAGGTGAAGTATGTTGGGATGAGCATGAGCCTACTGGAGATGAATTTATGTTACAATGCTGTTTGTTGGTCTACAGAATCTATTCGGACTGGTTCATTTTTTATTCGTTCTAATTAACTTAGAAATGATATTTATGATTGCTCATTGGGTGATTAGACCACAAGTTATAGAATCTAAAGGGTTGTAGCAGTTTCTAAAAGGTCAGGTATAAACGGTATCAATGTTGTAGGGGAATCTACTCAGAAAGACCACAACGAAGCTATGTAGAGTCGTATTACGTATTTCTTACCACCGTTCAAAGATCTCGAAGGCAGGTTACTATGAATCCATTATCCAAACAACTTATATGAGCTTATCAATAACATAAAATTGATATATACTAAGTGAAATCTCTATTTTTATGCAATAATTCATTTTTTTGTAGCTGCCTTTTGATTATTTAAAACTGTTTACATGTCAAGGTTGCTCTGTGGTATAGCTTAACTTCACCTTCACGTTTAAGGGGATAAATACAACAACACTATACTTACAAAGCAGACAAGTGCGGAAATGACACGTTCAAAATGGCTATTTAAACAAAATGTGGTAACCAGTCAGAATAGAGATAGTTTCTCAATAGTTAACTTAACCAATAAGATACAAGAAAAAAGAATAAATACACACACGTCACAAATATGCACGAAACTAGTCCAAGACATTTAGTAAAGAACATTAATAATTTGCATATCCCACTGCTATAAAGTAGTACAAAACAAACCTGGTTAAATATTAATTTTTTAATGGTGTGATGTTTTACATGTGCGATGGGTCGCAAATATGATCAACGTTTACCGTTGTTTGAATGTAGCATTGGTGGAAAGTTAAATTCAGTTGATGTTGATCCATGATACGTGGAGATAATAGACTTTAATATATATATATATATATATATATATATATATATATATATATATATATAATGAGAAATAAAATGTTGATAATTACTAGATGCATGAAATACAAATGATACAAAATATCTACCTTAGGACTGGATGCACAATTAGATGACCCTTCTCCATGCACCACAAAGTATGTGTTAAACCATAGTTGGCATATCTTCTACAAATTATGAGTAGTAGTAATAAATAATGTACAATTACGAAGCATCAATTGGTACATATGCATAGCAGTGTTAAAACATACTTAGACATCAAAATATTTATAGCTAAAACACATTGAATGATATATATAACGTTATAGAGTACAGACTATGACAGTCCTATTTTAACGGATAAGGTCATTCTGTGCAGAAGAAACAATCAATGGAATCATTCAACTCAGATTAACACATCGTTGAGATATTAGATAACTGCGTGAGTCATAGTTGTGATTCTTGAAGACTAGTGCTTTTATTCAATTTTTATAGACGGCTCGTAGAGATTGTTACATTATGTGGTTTGCGTCGCGGACTGACTTCAGTTAGAGAAGCAGGAAACAATAAAACGTTGCTTTGTTTTAGTACAGGACTTCCCAGTAGTTCAGATTTACTAGGCCAGGGTTCGGGCTCTAGACCTTTAGGTCTTGCAGAGAAGGGTTCAACTTTAGACCATTAAATTAGTAATCAATCGTTAATATTTCTAAACTCAATTAATCAGTCATATTAGACAACAATCATCCAATTACACTGGTACGTAACTGTTATGCATCTGAAAAGGTTTCTCACTAAAAATAGGCAGAGTGTTTATTAATGGCATAGTATAGTCATACTCTTATTTTACTGAAATGAAATTTAATTACAGTGGATTTTTATTGCACTATTGGTGCTTCTTTTATTTAGTATGTTTTGGTTGGTAGTACCACATATGAAATACGTCTGATTATCAGTTTAAAAATAATTTTGTATCTAAAACATCGACAAGTCAACTAATAAATATATATTCTGTTATATCCCAATGAGTAGAAAAATCATATTTCTGACGTTTCGCGACTAGCCGTAAGCCACTTCTTCAGAGTAAATAAGTGACCGAAATAAATTAACACAAGTCTAAATAGTACAATTGTACGAAAGGTCAGAAGTACAATTTTTCTACTCATTGGAATTTAACAAAAAAATATATTTATTATTAACTTTCTACCTAATGCTCAACTTATTTGAAATTATCAAGTTCGACCTTGGCATTGATACCGATAAGTCAACTAGTTGTAAATAGTAATCATCATTACTAAAATGATGCGATAAGATATGGAATAAGGCTACATTATTTAATAATTGTATTTAGGATTTTATATATCATTTGCTAACCTCATCTTCCGATTGGATGCCAAGTTAAAGGAAGACTACAGAGAATATAAAAGAGTAAGTCAAAAATCGGATAATAATAATATAATACAATAAACGACCCAATTATGCGCGCCGCAATACAGTTCAAGAATCTGTTCCATTGAAAATACAACACTATCATTGCTAACTTTTCATTCTTCGACCGCGTTTACTTCTTATAAACTGTGTTTTACGTTTAGACCCCCAATACTCTCATTATTATTTTCCATCTTGTCCTAATTATCTTTCTCTTTCCTCTCCTCGTGCTAGTATAAAATATAGCAGCTTCGACAGATAAACACTCGCTTTAAGTACTTACTAAACTGACGATGACTGTCTAGAAGTTTTCCCATAAAAAATTCAAATACAAATGAAAGTAGTGAGACTTGTTAAAATAAAACACACAGAAACGCTGATAAAAGTTGCTACACATTTGTATATTTGATAATGACCTACACAAAATGATCACATGATTGAATATATGGAAATATTTAATAAGAATGTAAACACATAAGAATTAGAATGATACTCTTTGAAGAAACGGCAATGAAAATCAGTAAATGCATAAATGTGTATATATGTAATATCGATAAGGTATGTAAAATATCAATACCAGCAAATTGAACTTAAGAACTAATTGATTAGTTACAAAGTAGGATCCGATCAGAGAAAAAATAAAACAGTATAACTATTTCCATATTTATCTTTTTGCTAAAATCTGTTTACAATTTAGTTGATAGTGGTCACCGTATTGATATTGGTTGATGTAGCGGTAAGTTAGGAAAACATTAGGGAATGTGGTATGAGTTTATGCAATCGTTGCTGTTAAACAGAACCATGTAGTTAGATGTAGATCACCTGGTTGTTTGCGCGATTATCGTATCTAATGGTTGGAGACGGATGACATGACTCAAAAGCGGTCGGAATGGTGCAGATGAATTAAATCTTTCTCTTTACTCACATCTTCCGTTCTAAATTTATATTATTATTTTATTTCATGAAGTCAATTTTTCTTCTCGAATTTGATAAGTCTGCTAGCTGGACGCTCGAATCAGTTTCCTAAACGCTTCTAATTACCCCGGGCTTAAACTACACGGCGAATCAAACAAGTAAAGGCGCAAAATGTGGAAAGAACGCTTTACTCTGAGGTTAGTATAAGTAAGGAAAATCGAAGGTTATTATGGTGACCTTGGGTTCTTGGAAATTTCCGTAACTACACTAAGTATAGTAACAATGTAGGTAATTATCTAATCAGAAATATGACAAGTGACTCTTCACTTTCTAGATGTTTTTGAGAAACCTTTATTCAACACCGATTGGATAAAATCCCCCTTTGTACTTTTTCGAGGAATATTTTGAATCTTCCCAACAGAATTATAGTACCTAAAACTAATCTTTTCTGCTACCACTGATACTGTTACTACTTCTAATGTCCTGAGATTACATTTCTTTGTGCTGATAGTGTGGTAACTTAAGCCGATGCACATGTGTACTAGGTTCTACGTTGTGTATGACTGACTGACTACTAGCCACCATGTCAAAGCAAATCTGGATATCGAAATTTATTTATAAAATTTCATTAGACTGATCTCTTACAAACATCAGAAGCAAAACAAATAGATATCAATAAACCTAATGTTTGTGTAAAGAGAAAGTCTGTCAAGTCTCCTAATTTATGGTGGTATTGTAAATTTACTTAAACATACGCTTCTTAGATTTCAAATTTATCTAACTATTATTTCGATTCCTTCGTAACCAGTACCAATAATCAACCGATTAAGTAATTTTGTCTTATCAGTGTGGGATTGGGGAGATTGTTAAGTTTTTGATTGAGATCATGAATCGATAAATGTTAGACCACCATTGAAAACCTGGAAGCATTGGACGGCAGTTTCATCCTGGCAGCGTGCATCCACGATCCCGCATGCGGGATTCGAGGCCAGGACCTTAGGTTTTGTACGCGAGCACTTAACCTCTAGATCACTGAGCTGGTCGGCATTCAATGGTGTTAATATCTAGCCTCAACAAATCCACGAAATTTTGCGACCATCTTCCATTGTCTGAGGTAGGTATATGTCTCTACCCGACATGAGTTAGCTCCACTGGTCACAGCTTCTCACTAGAACTCCGAGAATTACTTCACGAAGGTAGTCACTAGTGAGCACATAGTAATTATCAATGTGAGGTTGTGGAGATTGTTAAGTTTTGATTCAGATCATGAATCAATGAATGTGAGACCACCATCAAAAACCTGAATTCGATAAGCTAATAACTGATTAATATCTTTAAAGGAAATATTGAATTACATTTCTAAATCAACCTACTACCATTTGTTTAGTACTGATTTTATACTTGACGTTAAAACCTGTTTATTTACGTAGAGCCGTAATGGAGAACTAATTTGAGAAAATATTAGAGCTAGTGAGAAAAACAAGATGATTATCACACTTCAAAATACAAAGCCATCTGTATTTGATGTAGAGAGAAGTTAGCCACAGAGATATTGATAACCACTAAGTTTAACATGAAAATATAGGAGACACAGACAAAAAAGGCATAACTATACAATAATTCGATACGTTATTGAATCAGTTCAAGCTGTTACACTTCCTAACAACATACGTTTTTCCATTATAGACTATTATAATCTGGAGAATTAATGGAAATGAAGGATTTATTTAGTTAGTGTATATCTTGAATGTCAAATGGGAGCATATTCAAGCCTCGACATCAAATTGCTACCAAATTATCGAAAGTAGCTTTCCTTTCTTTACACTAAAGACTAACTGTAATATAGGAATGTCCATTTTAGTTGTGTATTATTGTGAGCCGGATGATCTAATTGTGAGGCTGCTATTATCATTCTGGAGGTTACTTCACGTAGAAGTGAGCTTTTAATTCAGTGAAATATAAAGTCAAACAAGACTGACAAAACCGCAAAAAATAACCATTCACAGACAAGGTCATCAAAGCAGGTTAATTTAATATTTATGGATTAACTAAATGCTTTACTTCTACGTGAGATAAGAGCTGATAATATTGTCCGGAACGACAATGAAAGCTTCGCAAGTAAACCAACTAGTTCAGAAAACAAGACCGAAAACATCAACATGAGTTTCTAATCTCTAAAATCTCATGTAGTCTATACTTACACACTTGCAGATCGTTATGATATAACCATGGATAACGAAAAATTTCATTAATACAATAGTAGTAATTTAGATAAACCATGACGAAAATGTCTAACGTGAATAACTTTCATTCTAAAGGAATTCCAGTGGATAAGCAGCCTTATCAATCTTGATATTATATATTTTACCGAAGTGTTGGAAAACGCAAACTCTAGTCTTAAACAGTGGTCATTGACTGAGTCACTAGGACTCAAGTGGTCTGTATTAACACAATGAAATCTCAATCATAACAGCTGGCGAACAGTGTTTACGTAAGTAACAGGCCTTGATTGTCATTACATATTGCATTCAAAGTCGTTTGGCAGCAAACTTACATGGGAATGAAGAATTCACAGAAAATTAACCTAGTGCTTTTCGAGAAATATGTAGTAATCTAAATTACCGGTGCGTTGTTTCATTAACGTCAAATGGTAACTGGTATACTTTAGTTATCCATTTCTATAACTACAAATCCTACATTAGATCAGTTTTACGAATTAGCATTAAATGCTAACTAAATCCCTATTTTTTATCTGATAGGTATTATTATTTCTTTGCACATACAACTACTAATGGTCATTAAAATTTATTGAAATATGCAGTCTGGACGATAATTTATAAGAGAAACCAGCGATTGTACTGTTACACAAGCGATTAACAGTAAACTATCGTTTATAGATAAAATATTTCCCCAACATTGAGAAACTTAGGATATAAGGGAAGACAAATAGTGAACGCACCTGGGCTATTGCGAGCTATTTTGAGATGAGGACACCAATCAGGTAGTTTGTACCTACCCAAATGGCTCAATTCAACAATCAACGTCTTCATGAACTGATGTCATATTTTTGTTTGGCTACCTCTACCTTTATCCCAACCAACTCCCACACAACTCGTTATTCACCATCGAGGTAGTCGGTGGATGCGTATTAATAATACATAACCTAACCATTTTAGCCGACAAAGATTCACTACCTAGTCAACCAATTTGCAATACTTTAATAATACTGTGAATCTAACCACATAATTTTTAATTCGATGGTCTTGATAATGCACGAGAAATTGTTCTAAGGCACCTATGGATAGTCCAGAAGCAAAGCTTTGCACTTAGAGAGAGTGAAACCCATTCCACACATGCTAGCATTGTTGCTTACGACGGCCAGAAGACTCTGCATTTTTTTAGGGTCTTCACTAAATAGGACTATCATCTGGGTATTTCAAGTTAACAAATGAGTATCCTATTACAAAGTTAACCCTTGAAAAGTCAGACGATGAGAATTTTATTTTTAGGATAATGTCTATGACAAAATTAAATAAAAATAGGAAAACAGAAAAAGCTGACGGAAACGACTTGAAGTTATTAATTATGATGAAGTTTACCATAATCTCTGACTCAATCAATAATGTTCGAGTAGAGTCAGTGTATAAGGTTAATGTACTTCATTGAGAACTTTTTGGTACTAGTGCTTCTCGGAGCTTCAGTGATAATAAGCAATTTCTGATTGTATAAAGCAGCCATATAAAATATCCCTAACTAAATGAAAATAGATAAATTTTGACCAGCAGTGGAGGCTAGGACTCGCGGTCAGTCTTATTTCAACAAAATAGATTGTACTACAAAAACCAGTAACAAGCAAACTTTGAAAAAAATAATGGCTGCGTAGATGAATAGGCTTATTTGAATTATTTTTAAAAAGTAGTAACACTGCGGTTAGCAGTTAAAGGGATCGATTTTAAGTTGAGATTCACGTTTGAACCTAGGGACATCTGCATTAGTTTCAGGATCTGAGTAGTGCCAAACATTAGACTTCTCAACTAAAGGTATGACTTAGAACTGGATACACATATCAGTGCTTAATAAATGAGTTCCATTAATCGACAGAAATACATACGTAAATTTCAATAAGTATGTTTTATACAAGTTTAAAACTTTCTGTTATCGATGCAGTTTTTTATTGAAGATGTGCGGGTCAGCCAGACGAGGTGAGCGAGGGATGCCAATGGATGCACAATATCAGTCAGGATTCGGTCAAGTTTTCTGAGGAAGTAGAAATATATGCTATCGATTAAAAATCGGGCTTTACTTTCTGAGGTGAACCATTAAGTTATTGAAAAGAATATTCTTCGTCTATATATCTGTGCTTTAATATGATGAGAATTTTTCAACGTTAAATATTTATTAATCAGTTGTGTACATATTTTCGATTTAGCTAGCCGGTAAAGGATCCTTACTCACTCTTGGTTTTTTTACCCAATTTAAGCTGGTTTTAGCATGAATACAGAATATGTATAACATGACTCCAGAACATAACAAGATACTTTTCATTACGAAGCCAAATCATTACGAAAATCACTAAGAATGAGGAAGCATCAGAGATTATTTCTGTCATAGTTCATTCAACAGCTGTGTCCATCCATAATTATACATGAAATCGAGTACAAGACTTTTAAATAATAGGATGAGGCCAACACTTTGAAGCTGTGATTAAAATAAACTATTTCATAATTTCAACTCAAACCAATTTGTAATAGTAATGTGATGATAATGTATACTTTCATCAATTTGCTTGATTCTACAGGTCATGGTTTTCATAAGAAGCGGTAACGAATTACACTTGATGGTTAAGTATTTCTTCTATCAAACAGTGAACAACTTATAAGTGCTATATCCTTCAAGCATTTATCTATTAGATGACTTCTAATCATGTTTACTCTTGTGTTCAATATTTCATATTGAACTATGTTTTGTTAAATGAAAAAAACATTTCGACTACTGATATCAGTTAAATTAAGAGCTAACATCAATGATCCGGTCTCGTGAGTAACCGTCACACGACTACGTTGTATCACCAAATAGTATCGATTGATTAGCACATTTCATTTATTAATTTAACATTCCATAAAAACTTCTTGTTAACAAGATTCTTAAAAGATCAATTTATAATAGACTTTTTATAAGAGTTTCGATCAATTTATTTTAAAAACTACTTATTGCTAGTAAGTATATGATAAATAGAATTTTGTTTCTGCAAAGAATGAAATTAACAAATATATCGCTCCATTTTTAGGAAGCAATTATTGAAATGAGAAATTATCGTTTCGAAAATAATTGATCATTGAATTATGTAACATTTAATATGTATTCCTTTTTCATTTTTAAACAACCTTTATAAATTTATTTTCTGTAATGAAATACAATTTAAAACTAACACAAAGGTTTGAATATTTCGCCCACTACTACTTACAAACATTATTAATTAAAATAGTCATATACACTGTTATATGGGCTTTTCATCATATGAAACATTTACATTTATTTTAACATAGAAGATAAGATGAATGCGAATTTTATCATTTTCTGGTAGAAATTAGAGATTTGATTTGATTTTATTGACATTTTGGTTTTAAATGAATTTTGTTACGACTTAAATTAGATATCTTCCAGATCTGTCCTATTACATAACAAGATATTCAAATATGGAAAGTGAAATAATTTTTGAATTTAGCTATTTATCATATAATTCAAAGTTAACTAATTCAGTAATAGACGTTACGAGTAACCCAGTTAATAAGGATTGGTAAATTCCTTAAAAGTTCCGCTACAATGAAATGAAAAACATTCGAAATTGTGTACAAACACTAACTCATATGCCAAATTAGACTGATTAGATTTCAGTTAAAAATATAAACAACACGATAATCTAAACCATTTCAAAATGGAATAATGTGGTCAGTTGATTGTGATTGGTTGATAAAATGATATTTTGTTTTGTCCGGTTAATTTTTATTTCAATGACCTTGAATAAGACTAGTGCAAAATGAGTATTCTTTTGAATTCTATGAACCATTACTTTAGGGTGTCAAGTAAGAGTCTGATTATATCCTGATTACTTGCTTATATATGTAAGGATTGTGATCATCTGATGCATATCGGGTTATAACTTGTATGCCAAATTATAAAAATTCCTTGCAGAAAAAAGATGATTTCTACCAATAAATTTTTTCCATGTGACTTATGAATGGAAAAATAAATGTCAAGGTAACTTACTTTATTTAACATATGGTGTCTAGCATAGAATTTAACTCGAACATCTCCAAATAACAGAATATCTTGTTTCGGTTTTATAACAACTTCATTTTGATGTATCGGTTCGGAAGAGAATGTTGCACAATTTTGTTCAAACACATGAGATGAATCAAATGTATACAGTTGTAGATCTAACAAAAGGCCTGAAAAGTAGGATAAAAAACGACAAAGTAAACAAAAAGGAAAGAGAAAACAATACGAGTGATTAAAATGTATCATTCTTGAGAGATGTCCAATATAATCAATCAAAGCGAAGGTAAATGCTCACTTGTTTCGCTTAAAATATAATTTTGACAATCGACATAATGTTAACTATTTTGACAAAAGATAATTTTATAAAGTAAGAGAAGGTATTGTGTATTTGTTAAAGTTTTACATGATATTGAGTTATAATAACTAATATGTTTAACTGAAAACAAAATATGATACCATTTCGTTTCAAACACATTTGAAGTTTAAAAAATCTATTATTAACGAGCCTTTTTTAACATCAAATCTTTTTTCAAGTACATAGTGACAACGTCTCACTAAATCACTCAAGAATTAGTAACAAGTGCGGAGCAAATAGATTGATTATGGACAACACGTGTGTTTATGAACGATAAGCATTTTGTTAAAAAGCTGATATAACGTCAAAAAAGCTGGGATGCATAACTACAGTAACCAATGCTGCATAAAAAGATTTTTCCACGAACAAGTTTGCCAATGACGTATACATTATGTCCATTATATATACAGATGGGATGCCAACTAATTTAAATGGGAAACAACGGTGAATACATGATAATAAAAAGTAATCATTTTAAATACTCCACCTGAAGCCCTTTCGAGGTTACCGCCAGTCCAAAGCCCGGAAAGAGGAAAGTTGGTAACTACACACTGTAAAAAACCTTTCAAAAAAGGCCAAGCAGAATAAACAAATCAACCCCATTTAAACTCCGACATTCGAGTTGAAGGATCTTAATCCAGAAGAACTATGACGCTTTATACTGAAAGTTGAGATTCTTCGAAATTCACGAGGTCCATGCCATTCCTGGCAACCAGAGCAACAATTAATATAGCTACATGGAATGTTCGAACAGTGTGGAAGACTGGGAGGACCAATCAAATAGCTAAGGAAATGAGGAGGTACAACCTGGTAGCGCTTGGAATCACTGAAACATATTGGATCCAAACTGGACGGAAAATATTATATCCGGGAGAGATGCTGCTCTACTGTGGTTATGAGGAAGAAAATCCCTACCAAACACGAAGAGTTGCACTAATGATATCCAAAGAGTCACGAAAAGCACTTATAGGATAGGGATCTCATAGATCCAGAATCATCAAACCATTCCCCAAAACGAAGGAAATCACACTGAATGTTATCCAGTTCTATGCGCCCACCAACAATAGCAACAAAGATGATAGAGATCGGTTCAACGAGAGACTGCAGTTGATCGTAGATAGGTGCTCAGGAAAGGACCTGACAATCTTGATGGGAGACCTGAACGTTAAAGTCGGAATGGACAAAACCAGGTGTGAAGATATCAAGGGATGATATGGATTGGGAGAAAGGAACAAGAACGGTGAGAGATTTGCAAATATATGTGCCCTAAACAAAATAGTCACAGGCGGCACTTTATTGCCCCAAACGTATACACAAGCTACATGGGTCTCACCGGACCACACATGACAGGAGTTGCTTTGCTCCAAGAGGCACCAGGACAAAGAGCGAATCTCTATTCGTGCCCCGGGAAAGATTAGAGAAAGAACAAGAGGGCGGAAGTGAATGACAGCTGAACTAGAGCACAGAAAAACAAGGCGAAGACCGAATACACGGAAGCAAACAAGCAAGTGAAGAAGAGAATTAAAGTCGACAAGCAGAAATACGTGGAACACCCAGCAATGACAGAGGAAAAAGCTGCAACAGAAAGAATTATGAGACGACTATATGACTCAACGAAAAAACGAACAAGGAAATATGGTAAACCAGAGAGACCAGTCAAGGACAAAGAACGCAAGCCAATCACTGAGATTCAAGAAAAGAGGGGAAAATGGGTAGAACACATCGAGTAACTCTTGAAGAGATCAACTACATTGAATTCACCAAATATCGAAGCAGCACACACAGACCTTCTTATGACTGTTACTTCACCCACGATCGAAGAAATTAGGATGGTCATCAAAAAAGCAGCAGGACCTGAAAATATGCTGCCTGGAGCACTGAAGTTACACATAGAAACAACTGCAAACATGCATCACGTTCAATTCAAGAAGATTTAAAAAGATGAACAGGTGCCACCGATGGACTGGGAAGAAGGATATATCATCAAGATACCAAAGAAAAGGAGATCTAAGCAAATGTGAAAACTACAGAGGCATCATTCCCCTATCGGTAACAGCAAAGGTTCTCAACAGAGTGTTGTTGAACTGAATAAAGGTTCAGTAGCTACCCAGCTTCCAGATCAACAGGCCGGATTTCGTAAGGATCGGTCCTCCACAGACCAAATCGTGACACTACGAATCATCGTTGAACAGTCAATTGAATGGAACTCGTCACTACACCACACTTACTCTCCCCCTTTTGCTTTCTTCTAATAGTCGACTGGATTCTGAAGACCTTCAAATTTCAAGAAAGCACGGAACACAGTGGAGAGCTTTGATGCGACCAGACGATTTGAACTTTGCAGATGACCTAGCCTTTTTGTCCCATTCACACCAATAATCGCAGGTCAATACAACCAGTGTAGCAGAAGTCTCTGAATCAGTAGGCCTCAACATACACAAAGGAAAAAGCAACATCCTCAAGTACAACACGGAGAACACCAACCCAGTCACAATTGATGGAGAAACTCTCGAAGAGGTGGAAACTTTCACGCACTCATCTGAGCAGCATCATCGATGAACAAGGAGAATCCGATGCAGACGTAAAGGCAAGGATTGGCAAAGCAAAGACATCATTCCTACAGTGGAGGAACATGTAGAACTCAAGACGACTATCAACTGATATCAAAGTCACAATATTCAATACGAACACCAAGATAGCTTTACTCTATGGAGCTGAAACTTAGAGAACTGTTACAATTATCATCAAAAAGGTACAAGTATTCATAAACAGTTGATTACGCAAGACATTCAATGTTCGTTGACCGGATGCCATCTGCAACAACCTACTGTGGGAGAGAACAAACCATCTTACAAATGAATAGGAAATTAGGAAAAGACGTTGAAAGTGGATAGGACATACATTGTGGAAACCATCGAAATGAACCACGAAGCAAGCCCTAACTTGGAATTCTGAAGGGGAATAGGAAAGAGGAAGACCAAAGTACACACTACATCGAGAATCGGAAGCAGATATAAAAAGGAAGAATAGTAACTGGAAAGGATTTCATAGGACAGAGTTTGATGGAGAATGCTGATGGGCAAACTATGCCCTACCACGAAAGGTAACAGGAGTAAGCTTGCCAATGAATTTATAAAGCTAGCTTATACGACTCAGTACACCACCTTACCCCATGCAATACTGAATAAGAGCGTAACAATTAAATAGGTTTCTGACATTCGATTATTTATATTATATATTATATATATATATATATATATATATATATATATATATATATGTCTGATTGCAATATGAATACTACAGTTCTTGTTTCAAATAAAGATGAGACTGTGTGAGTTCAATTATCAACTCCAATTAAGTACCACAAAGCACCTTTCAAATTTTGGAGATAACTGATTGTAAGAAATTAGTGGTAGAGAAAGATAAAAATACGTAATGATTCAATGTTTTAGGTAAACTTGACACCTCTCCGCACTATCTTCTGAATGACTTATTCATTTAAAAAATTTAGTATATTGAATACAAATGACTATCCTGTTCAGAAATCAGCTGGTTTTAAATTATGTTAACCTGGATAGTAGATTATGGATACATTTATTAAACTTTGACTAGGTTCAAGACAAATATTTACTGGAAACTGTGGTCTGTGGAGTCAATGAAGTGAGATAGACGACAACTCTAAGGTACCTAATGTTCAACGCAGATTTATATATGTATTGCTTTAGGATTGTAGAGTGCACGTAGACGAGTTTTGAATCAAAACATTTTCTTCTTGGTAAACATCCTATGTCCCCTAATATGGTTTTAAAACGGGGGATCCGCTTTCACTCTACTCCTTTGAAAGAAAGCCCCTAAAACGAGGTGGTGCGTGGAACTTCCGTCGATGAGTCTATAAATGTGCGGCTGTGGAAGCATTTCTCACAAGGGAGTGTGAATTTCCTTGCTTTCAACGAACTTTGAACTAGCTTTTAAACAATGATTTCTTTATATATCGTGATCGACTAAACATTTCAATGTAATTATACTACAGGGTCAAGTCATAATGGACGTTAAAAACGACCTTGTGGTTTTGAAAAGCATGTTTGACTAGTGAGGAATTTGTAAAAATTAGGAATATTTTCACAGGAGTGTAATGAGATCTGTTAATTCATAGCGGTCTTAAAAAGCTTATTAGCTTTTTAAGGTTTATTAGTTTTGTGATTTTATTATCAGAGAAAAGTCGATACAGAATACGAATAAATCTCCTTTTTGGAGCCTTTTCATGATCAGTATAACTTTCTAAGAAATTCTTTATAGCCTACGGAATCTTTGTTTTTAAATTCGCTAGAGTTGTGGGGATAAATTTATAATACAACTACATGGAAAAGTTATGCATATGAAACATTTATTTAACATCCCTACGTTGCCAGGTCTTCCAGTTTACTTCAGGGCTGACACAGTATAAAAGATATTGGGAATAAGAACCCTCTGATTTATCTATTACGTGAAACATCCGATGCCATGTATTTGATGTATTTTCCCTTTCACACTATCATTACCTATTTATCCTGGTGAAATCTTTTCTTATCAACCATGAGCGTTATAAACAAGTATATCAAGATATTTCGTACAAAGCTTTTTATATGAAGATAAAAAATTATTTACTTTTAAATTTCCTGCTGAAACTCAAAAATCGCTTTCTGAATTAGCATTAGTTCAGCTCTAGGGTATAGTTACACTTATAATTCAGAACGAAGAAAATTCCACAGAAGTTTTTTCGGTATGAAAATGATTAAGGTATAAAGTCATATGAATAAATTCTACATCAACAAGCTATCTATGCTGGAGGGCAGAAAGAATATTATTGTACACAATACATTATGTTGTTTACAAAACAGAGAAGTTAAAAAATACTTTACAAATCATAAAAATTGTTATGCAAGAATAGAAAAGAAAGTTATATAAGAAAAAAACATTCGAAATTATCCGTGGTTAAATGGTTTAGTGATTATGGTAAAAACATAAGAAAAACTGCATTGCAAACTACGTTGCTTCGTATTCTCAGTTTTCTAATCTAAGAACAAAATGTGGCACCATGGACTAGTGATTTGATCAACTACATTTTAATCACAAAGCGCTCTGGTTCGAAACGCTCCCCTGCACCTACTTCAGTTTGAGCACCCAGGTATTATTACTAACGATCATGGAAATGGGTTGTGGCTCAAAGCCGAGTGTATAGATATGTAATTCATAATTGAATTACAATCAAAACTGATAAGTAATCGTCGATGTTATGTATTATATACTCATACAACACGTCAGAAAGCAGGATGAAAGGCTATAGTTTACTGTATGAGTAATAAAATAGATGTGTGTTCTCGATCAGTAGTCACTAGAACTGCAATATCCATTACATAAGAGAGGTAAGCATACGGGTATGATGTAGTGCATAGATAGGGAAATGTTACGAGTTTAAGTCATGGCAAAAAAGTTGAAGTGACTGAAATAATTAGTGGAGAGAAAAAAATTACACTACCTGGTAAATACTGTAATCCACAAACACGTACAGCTGTTAAGAAAAGAGGAATTCTATGATACTGTAGATTATTTTTTAAGAATAAATCATAATAATGTACATAACGCCGTTGACTCGGTATTGTTACACCTTTACCATTATCAGTTCGTTGTTCACCATAGAATTTCAGTGATTCTTCTGCATTCATAACATCGTGTAGTCGAAGAAGACATGCACAGACCATAACACCAGTTCTCCCCTAACAAAATATTGTGATAAAAATTTAATATGAAAAACACACTACTCAACTATAGATAAATGGCATTATTGATAGCAACATGTAATAGCTTATAGCATTTTATGGAGGTCTTATTCTTTTTTGTTTTTATAATTAACAACAGAGATTAGAGAAGCATATTGAAACTGCTGCCTATTCAAATGATACAATATTTAGGAGAATTTGAGAGGAAATACATAAACAAACGCTTATTTGAAACCACGATAAACACGGAAATACACATTCACAGATTAAGAGTTAATGACAAAATTGTTTGTCATTTATGAGGACTTTATTGAATACAACCTCTTCAGAGATAATATTATTAACTTGATGCTTGGAGTGACTAAACCATTTAACCGCATTTCACATCATCTCTAAACAAACAGGATTTCAAAAGAATATCTAAACCGATAATTCATTGTGAGCTCTCACACAACAACATTTCATGTAATCTTATTACTGAATACTAGTTTTTGTGACACTCTTATAACCAGAAATTACACTGCTACTTCTTTAAATGGAGATATATTTGATAAATAATTATCTCAAAATATTTAGTTTGTTAGATAGTAATAAGTTATGTTTCTAAGATTCTAAAAAAACTATTTACACCATAAACCTGAAGGATTAAAGTATTTACAGATTTAAAAATAGTTATAAAACACAACTTGCGTGCAGGAGTAAACAGCCAGTAATTTAACTGCCAATCATAAACTGGAACAACGAGTCACCTAACTTTTAATTTATATATTCAGTTGGTGAAATAAAACAAACTGCAACTAATGTGTGAACTGAAAATATGATCATAATTATTCATAAACAGATATAGGGTTGTGCCTAATAAATAAAATTTAATAAATGTAACCCACTTACAAAGTACTGATTTATGTATACGCTGAACTATAGTTTGTGTGTACGAAGACTATCGATACTATTTAATTGTCTTAATCAAAGTATACAAAGCTCAACAACAACTACATATTTTAACCAAGGCTGAGACTGCTCCACTGGACGCCGAGTTTAGTGCTTCTAGTGGTTAGACGTTCGCCAGATGATACAAAGGCCATGTGTTATATTCCTTGTGGTGGGGTGGTGGATGAGCACTGCTGGAGAGCTCTATACTAGGACGGAACGGTTGCTCAGTGGTCCTTAGTTTTCGGTGGCACCCCAAATACGACCAGTGTGTGGCGAATAATGCCTAAAAACTACAGAGTTGCTTGATAGAAGTTATACTTTTGATTTTCTGAATACTAAAGTGGGTCTCAACTTGTAACCCTTTGAAAATAACATTTTCATGAACACTTCCCAAAAACGTTATCAATAAAATATATGAATAATGTGTTTGACAATATCATAGTTCAAACAAAAAACCAACTATATAAATAAGCCTAGGTGATTTACCTTTCCAGCTTTACAATTAATTGCAACGACATTTTTAGGATCTTGACTAAGAAATCCATTTACATCTTCACACAAAGCAATGATTTGTTCAAACTGAGGAGCGTTATGGTCAGAGAATGGATATTTTGCGACTGGACCATCAAATCGACAAACGTTAAAATCTCTTTCATCACATCTATACAATTAAGTGAAAAAAAAAAAGATGAATTAATTTCACATCAGAAAACGTTACAAAATAGCCACATATGGGCATTTGGAAAATGTAGTAGGACACTTTAATTTATGAACCTTGGTGGTAAAATGTATATCGCTAGTGGGATCAATAATTTTGAACAATTAAAATATAAGAAAAAAATTTGTTGGTGAGTTACTGTAACACTTAAAGATTATATATATATATATATATATATATATATATATATATATTCATAAACAGCATAGGATCTAGTAAACATATGAGTCGACACACCTCACAATACAACACCAAGGAAAAAGCAACAAGAAAAAACTACTAACATAAGACAGACAAGAAAAGGAATGAATAAATCTGAACAACAGTAATCGATTGTGAACGATCTAGAATCTAGTATAAGAAATGAGACGAAGAAACACTATTGCTAAACAAATATCTCGACTTTACCCAGAAATTGTGATAGACATTCAACTAGTAGTATCTTTGATGATACTGATCATGTGAGGTGTCATAACATACTGCTAAGAAAAAGTTTATAACTAACAGAGTACTTCCATATATGCAAAAATGCCAAGGCTCAAAAACTGAAGATCAAGATGGTATTGAAACTTACAAGCTCGTTTCTAAATAAATTTGTACTCTAAAAGATTTTATGAATCTGACTCCACAAAGTAATACGGCTTATTTGATTTTACCCACTAATTAATAAGTCAAATGAATAAATCAAAATAGCCAGCTAACATAAGTAAGATTCCGAAAACATGTTTCATTCCCTAATAATTAATAAATCGGCACCTTCATATACTCAAATATGAGAAAGCTACCTATCCATATACACATAGTCCTTGCACAAATTGTCAAATATTACAACTTTTGCTTCATTTTTCTTTAGGTTAAACGTGCTTTGAAAATGTCCCGATTCTCAGTAGACTGTAATTGGAAACAAGGTAAGAGGTGAAACTATTTCACCATGAAAAATAAAAGAGCTAACCAATAAAAATAACAAAACAAACGTTAAAACTGCTGAGAAGCAGGAGCTAATGAGCAACTATTCTTGATATTGATTTTTCAACAACCCATCTCATTATCTCTCTTTCATATCCTAATTCCTAAACATTTAATTTTTATGATGAGAAATTTTATGTTAAACTTAAAATGATGTGAACATAGCGAATGTTAATCATTATAATCCAGAAAGTTAATTAAACCTATGGTGGGACTAGAAAAACAGCATGATATTTATTCATTCTCAATAATTTATCCGGAATGTAACTCGATATTAAGGACAATGTTCAAATTATTGAAGTTCCTTAAACTATCAGCGTTAATATAAGTAGCTACATTATTATAGAGATTTTATCATGAAAAATGTTTGTATCCACTCTTTATATGTACAGTAACAAGACAAACTAATAACAAAAGGGATGTACACTTAAACTCAGTCATGCATGACCGAGAGCCTAGCTAATGTGTTCAGCTTTTCGATTTGACACACCACAGTAGCACAGAGATGTAGCGATCAGAACAAATGACAGAGTAGGAGCACTAGTATTAGTAGCAGTAGGAGAGAAGGCATAGACGATATGACTCGAGTAAGAATGAGTTCATAATATATATGTATATATATATATATATATATATATATATATATATATATATAATTTTCTGAACTGAAGATCTACGAGAAGACAAAGAGTCAATTTCTTCCGAATTTAGACAAACAACTCAAAAATGCGGTTGACAGATATCCAAATGAACTCGCTTTCAAAAATGACTAATGAGCTACGAGTGAGTGGTCTATGTATATTTAGCCTTGACAAAGTGACTCCAGCTATCAACCTTTTAAATTCACTGTAAACTTGTTAGGAGTAATATTTACTGAATCATAGGTTAAATAACAAACTGATTGCTTTAGTATATACAACCCAAAAGTTTTATACTATAGATTTTACTCAATTTAAGCAACATATGTATGGTCATTGATAAACTGACTCGGTATTTAAGAAAAGTACTTTTTAACAGAAATCAACTTACAGGTGATAGATTTTGTAGTGGTTTGCATGTCGTGTTTGTAGAAAGCGTACAACATCATCAATATGATTACGATAAACACCTTCAAGTTTAACAGCAGGGAATCCCATCGCAATAATTCTGGTGGAGATATAACTCAAGTCCAAATCAAATCCATCTTGTTGAAAACGCTTCTTATGACGACTAACAAGACCTTTTAGCGTTTTCGGCATAGTTTATGTCACCAAGAGGAGATGGTAGACGTATCTCCTTTAATTCTTGTGAATAGAAATCTGAAAGCAATTAGCTTGTCGTCAACACTATTGTAGGCTCTTTAAAGGAAGAATATTTACTTCGGAACATTTTATGTGGACATAACTGGAATTATGAACTTTGTCTACAATGTAAAAAGTAAATGTAACATAAACTGTGAAGCACATTATAAGAGATGAGTAACAATCTGCCCATTTGTACATCTTAATTGATACAAAAAACTAGTTTGCCTAGTTCTCTGAGTTGAAATTAGAGTTTAATTAAGATGAAGGTTTGTGACAGTTGTCCGTAGATATTGAGAATATCAGAAGGTATTCGATCAAATACAGCAATATTGAAAACACTGATGATTTATGAAAGAGGGGGAGTCCGCTCTCCCTCTCGAAATGCTCTCACACGGCCACGTGTATATAGCCTCTACCAGGAAAGTCCTACTCACTGCCTTCTCGTGGCGAGGGTGTTGTTTACGAATGTTTGGCGCTTTAACCGGGTTGGTGAACACGGCGCTTCCACCTAGGGGAGTTGGAAAACCCTGATTCCAAACCAATGATGCACATGGGCTCCAGTATCCTGAGGGAACAAATGGCGTATGAACCAATTGTTGGTCAGCGGCTGCTATGGGACTTTATCTCCTCACGATGCTCCACTGCCTTGTGGATCAGATCTTTAGGTTAAAGGCCCGCGTTGCAGCCCCCTAAGGAAACCACCTGCTTCAGTTTGGGCTACCGGGTAGTACCATAGCCTTCACACAAGCCAAATGAGATTTGTGTGGCGCATATGTATCTAATGCCCCTTTGTACCAATATTTGTGTTTAAATAAATAATTAATTAATATTTCGCAGAGGTGCATTGAAACGAAAAGGAGGGTTTTTGTAAAATTCCGTCGACATAAGAGTGGTCGAGATGCAAACTGGGAACAGCCACGTTCAATACCCTAAATGTCGGTTGCTGGACAGTTTGGTATCATCAATTGCCAAGTAGGCATGTCTTCTTTAAAAATGTTAACACACTAGTTCTACACGGTTGGATGCGCCGCTCTTAACGTCCAAGTCTAAGATTATGGGCAATGCGTTAGCGGCCGACTAAGTCACATGTCCTATTATTGTAAATGATTAAGATTTGATAAACTACATGTACTGAAGAACACACCATTAGCTATATCAGACTTGAGAGCGAACATTATGCAGCCGATGTCTAAGTCTGATGGGCATAGACATACACGGAAATTTAATATTGGACTATCAAGTTTGCAGTTTCATTTGTCATCTGAAGAGGAACTGCGAATCTTGGACTCACGTCTCCAGCAGGACATATGGGACAAATTTGTAAATCAACAAAATTTATTGGATTATCTATTCCCGTTCCAGATGGCCATGCTGACGCAGTTAATGGATGATAGTCCGAAAACGTCCATGAGCTATATTTTGTCATGCATCATGAAACCTGAGGTTGCCAGCCATTTCACACTACTTAGCACTTCATCGAAAAGGACACTCCAGAAGTGCAGGTTTTATGGCTGCATACGAAATAATTTTTTTCCTAGTCATTAGGCTCACTAGCATCTCGGTTTTCGTCTTCATCCATCAATGAAAAATAGTTTGCTAAACTGTATGACATCACGACGCAAGTGCATTTTCACGACATGAAACGAAATACAAAAGCGTTATAGAAGAAAACAAGAACATTTACGTACTAATTTGAAGTTATAACTATTAATTGCTGCTCTATGGATGGTGTTCAGTATTAGGTAACATAATCGTACATAATCGTCATACTTCAGGTCCAAAGTTGTTTAACAAATTACGGCAGTTGGACATTGTTGTAAATTTTTGTGTCCATTAAATTTCAGAATTCACAGGGAGATTATTTCAATTCGTAATAACAACACTGCAGTTAAAGAAAGACTTCATCATTGAAATGTTGTTTATGTTTAACTTAATTATCAACAAAGCTTTTGATAACATGTGCTGAATTTCTAACTTGCATATGAAACTCCTGAACTAATGGAATGTATGTTGAAAAAGCCTTTTTTATTTTATATACACATATCAATAACGACGTATTCATTATTATTGATTCTTTATCTGTAATTTCTTTTGCAGATATTCTTAAATGACAACAGGACTTGGCATTTACGACCGTTGCTCGAGCATCTGTTTGTACAATATAGTGTTTTTTCTTGTTAATAGACGTCTTTACGCACGTACCATTTTCTTACGTAGTCAATCGCAGCCGTCGTGTGATTTGTTATGAAAATAAAGGCGAACATACGTAACAATCAGGGTTAAGCAAAAGGCGGACAAAAAAGCTTATAGTTAGATGTAAAGTAGAAAATTAGGCGAATGGTAAACGATTCGGCGTGTAGTTGGAAGAAAAGCAGACAACTCAGCGACATTTCAGACATACAGCGACAAAAAGGTGAAGTTTTGCATCATTTCCAGATGGCAGACGAAAAAGCAGACATTCTAGCGTGTTTCTGCATCACTTCCCCTTTATCTTCTAAAGGAAAATACCATTTATTTAGCCCTTGCCCGCCTATATTTCCGTTTATTTATGATTCTTTCTATTGTAGGAGTATGTGCAAATACAATATTGATATACCTACATAAGTGGTAAAAGATACTTGCCGATGTGTTACGACAAATATCCGGCGAAATAGTGAACATAAGCTTTTTAAAAAATGCGAAAAGACGCTCAATTATGTTTTCAAAACAACATACGATGCAGTGTGTGATAGTTTGACAAGATACTTAGACGAGGACCCACTTTTCTCAGCTTTCCGGATCCGACCTTGAATACATAAAAGCCTCCGCCGCTCAAAAATCAAACCTTCCTTGTTAAAAAAATTGGAAGGTTAGTTTATTTGTGGTCGAAAGCTGTGTAGTAAGCGAAACATCCTATTCACAAGTACGTTTCCCTTTATTTGTTTTGTTGTTTGATCTGAAAGGTCAAAACATTAGGTTATAATAAGGACTGACTGAGGAGTAGATCCTCGTAATACTTACGGAACCTAAATCGACATCGAACCATATATTTTAAATTCAGCTGAAAATAAAACAACTATGACTTATTTTCGGAAGTTCTAAAGCCCATAAACCCTAATTACTTAAACGTTTAAACGGATTTTCGTTCAAGCTCATCCATGTTCTTTACTAAGTGGACTAATACTGCAAATGTCGTGCGATAATGAGTGGTATGATGATCTGCTGACGCGAAGAAGGTTATGAGTAGAACTAAAAACCATTAGCGTGTTCATTCTAATGATTTTACGCTACACAAATCACAGATTTGAACAGAACGAGAATGCTGAATCGGGTTTATTTTTAGTCTAAAGTCTTCTTCGGTTGTTCCTGTTTGAACTCGTCCCAAGAGTACGATATAATAAAATATGAGAATGTTCTTTTGACATGGTTTTGGTCAACCACTAAAATTAGTTCCTAATCATTCAACAGTTAGATCACCGAAAGTTTTTGAAAGAAATCGAAGAAAGAATAGTATTTATTGTCTACAGTATGCTAATGAGAAGAGATACCTAGACTGCAAAACAAGATGGTTCTAGACTTATCTTGAGGTGGATTATGCAAGACTGAAATGAACCAAAATGTACAAAGTGGCTTTTCACTAATAGCGATTTGAATTTACCTATATTAAGGAGGAAGAATTTTGCGAAGGAATTTATATCCTTCTCTAAATCTCTTAGTCATTTATTAAAAGCAAAGTCTTGGAACACTGAATACATGGTAGGCTGTTCATAAACAATAAGAAAAGGTATTGTTGTGGTAGGCAAATAGCTGAAATGGATAGTTCTGTAAGTTATCGACATTGACGTTGACCACATTAGCTTTACTGGATACACACAAGCTGAATGAGCTCGGTCACGCGCCTGCACCAGGTCACGAGTGTTTACGCCATACTACACATCTCTCGCAACCACCAAACAGTTTAGATCAAATGCTTCTTAACATATCGATGCCTCTCCACATACATCTTGGAACCCCTACATTTCTGACTTCTGATTTGATTGGGTTGATATACTTAGATTATAAAAGTATTACTTGTAAAGGCGTTGTGAAACATTGAATACCAGTGAGGGCTTTGGTGGTGAGTACGACGTGACCTGATACATAAAACAATAAACTATGAATCTGTTCCATGTTGTGAAGTAACATATCATTCTTTAAGTTTTATTTTACCATGTAGTGAGCAACCAATAATTTAGATGCATGGAATGTTCGTATAATGTGGGAGACTGGGAGAGACATCCGAATTACGGCAGAAATGAAAAGATACAGCCTGTAGATGCTTAGGGTCAGTGAAACACATTGGACGCAGGCTGGACGACAACGACCAGCTTCAAGAAAGCTTCTGGTATACTCCGACCATGAAAAAGAAAATGCCCCACATACAAAAGGAGTTGCATTGATGCTGCCCAGAAAAGCACAAAATAGACTTATAGGATGGGAATCTCATGGACCAAGGATCATCAAAGCCTCCTTCCAACCAAAGAAAGAGGGCATTACAATGAACGTCATCCAATGCTATGGGCCAGCCAACGACTACAACGAAGACGGTAAAGATCAATTGGCTGCAGTCAATGGTCGAGTAGTGCCCAACAAAGGACTTGACCATTCTGATGAGAGATTTAAGTGCTAAGGTTGGAATGGACGACACTGGATATGAAGACGTCATGGCATGACATGGACTGGGAGAAGCGCACGAATGTAGTGAAAGATTCGCAGACCTATGTACCTTCAATAAACTGGTCATAGGCGGCATTATACTTCCACATAAACGCATTCACAAAACTTCATGGACTTCACCGGACCACACTACACAAAACCATAGCATCAGATCATCATTTGCTGGTCACCAAGATGAAATTAAAACTTAAGAAGCACTGGACAATGGCACGGACAACATCACTAAAGTTTAATAAGGCTTTTCTTCGGGATACTGACAAACTCAACAAATTCAACATAGCCCTCAGCAACAGGTCCCAGGCCCTTCATGATCTACTCAATGGAGAGGGAACTACCATGGAGAGCAACTGTAAAGGGATCAAGGAGGCACTCACTCCAACATTTCATGAGGTTCTGGGCCACAAGAAGCATCATCACCAGGATTGAATCACTGTTGATACATCGGATGAAAAAAGAAGGAACATTAGGGCAGCAATCAATAACAGCCAAACAAGAACATAAAAAGCCAAGGCACAAACCGAATACACAGAGGCAAACAAGCAAGTGAAGAGGAGCATCAGAACCGATCTAGCAATAACGACGGAAAAAGCTGCAAGAGAAGGAAACATGAGACAACTGTATGATACAACAAAGAAGCTCGCTGGAAATTACCGTAAACCAGAACGACCAGTGAGAAGCAAGTAGGGCAAGGTAATTAGTGTAAGGTCCAACTTGTTCTTATTGGTTTTTTTACTTTACATTTTGTTAGTCTTTTTGATGCCATTTGAGAAGGTTATAATTTATTTTATTATGGTTTTTTCATTTTTCTTTCGCCTTCACTGAGTTTCTGTGTTTGCTCCTGAACTGTATTTATTTTGTTTTAGTTGATACCTATCGATGGTTCCCTCATTGGATTTTGTTGCTTGAGTTGCTTGAGATTGTGCATTTCGATGATGAATTGAAGCACTTTTCCAAAACTGGAAACCCTTTGTGTTATTAGGCAACAAACTTTTATCTTTTGAACGGATTTTTACCTGATCCATCCAGAAAGGATAGAATAACACTTACTTTTTGGTGCGCTCGGTAACTTTCTTACATTCCTTATCAGTTTGTCCATTTACTGTAATTTAGATCGATTATTGAGGGAACAATTATTGTTTGAATAACTGAGGGTAACATTTGTCTAGGTAATAATATACATTTTTTGATTGTAATGAAATTTAGAACCGTTATTTTCCTACTTTTCTTGTTTTGACTTCAACTGGGCAATATCGCGTGTCTCAAATACCCAGAGAGTTATTCTTCAACCAAAACTTAGTTTGAATCTCACGCCTGATCAAGATACCAAAGAAAGTCGATTTCAGTATATGTGATAACTACAGGAGCATCACTCTTCTTTCAACACCAGGAAAAGTCTTCAACAGGGTATCGTTAAACAGAATGAAGGACTACGTAGACGCCCGAATTCGGGATCAACGGGCTAGATTCCGTAAGGATCGATCGTGTACAGACCAAATCACAACTCTATGTATCATTGTGGAACAATCAATTGGATGAAATTTATCACTCTACTTCAATTTTATTGACTACGAAAAAGCATTTGATAGCGTGTACAGAACAACACTATGGAGGCTTCTTCGACACTATGTCGTACCTCAGAAGATAGTCGATATCCTACGGAATTCCTATTATGATGGATTAAACTACCAAATCGTGCATAAAGGACAGTTGACAGACTCGTTTAAGGTAAAGACCGGTACAAGGCAAGGTTGCTTACGCTCACCTTTCCTCTTTCTCCTGTTGATCGACTGAATCATGAAGACGTCAACATCTGGAGGGAAGCACGGGATACAATGAACAGCTAGGATGCAACTGGACGATTAAGACTTTGCAGATGATCGTTAATAACAGACTGTGACCGATGAAGCAGGAGAATGGGTGACAGAGCAGCGTTTTATTTGAGTAACCACAGTAGCAAGAGTATTAGACAGAAAATCAATTACGTCTGTTTTTTATAAACACAGATTAACAATCAGGTTCGGATATAAATATGGTTATATAGTATCATAGATAAAGAAAACATGTGACCTTTAACTTGTCGTTACAAAAACCTAATAAATATAAATGTCATTACAATCTTTCCTCTTCACCAGATGACTGTACCAGCTTAAACGCTACGTTCTTCTTCAAACCACCAACAAACAATAATGTGAGTACCGTCTACCACAATAGTGTAAGACAGGATTAAGGTTGTTGGATTTTAAAAGCGTTAAAGGGAGAATTCGATTCAGCCAGTGACTTAATTTGTTCCAAAGTTCATTGATATAATTCAGTACATTGCGTTGAGAGAAAGATCAGGACATATTTTCGAAATATTTCATGGATGAAAGACATCTTTCAGCTATTTTGTTGAAACGAATAGTTGACAGAAATGGTGTATCAAGTTAGTATAACCAATACAATGATCATCAATAATTTCATTCATCAATATCTTATAAAGTTTTCATTAAACTCAACCTATATAAAGAGATCATTCAATAAGAATATTGTGTGGTTAGAATACTGTTATCTCTCCAATCAACAGTCACCCGATTCTCATTGATTCCATTGTCGTCATCTTACATAAGTGTGGAGTACTGAGATATGCAGAACCAATCCGGTGAGTGAGATTATTTTGTGAGACTACGTTGCTGTACACTTTTCAAGATGTGACACAATTTCAATGCCTCATTTTGATGTCCCAAATCATACATAGCTGAGATCTTGCATGTTGAAGCTGTAACTGAACACCAATTTCTTGCTTATAAATTCCCAATTACCAATTGAATCACATATATCTTTAATTTGTTCGTAGTTAAACGAAGCAACAAATATGATATTACAGTTCAATTTCACAGTATATGGATGGGGATACTGTTGAACTTTTTATTAAGATAACAAACCGATCGGTTCAAGAATATCACTGAAAACGTGAAAACACTGGATGGCTATTTGGTTACAGTAAATGACTTCCTAGCAATGCGCACCCACGATTCCGCATATGATACTCGAGCCCAGGACCTTCAGTCTCGTGTCAACGCTTCATCTCTAGACCACCGAGCCGGCATCTAACGCTGTTAATGTTTAACTTCAAT